TTTTTGGTTAACACAGTACTGTGATCCAATTGTGTCCCCATTGCTGTCATTTTTTTTCTTCTAAGCTATTATTTTTCTTCTTGTATTTTATGCTAGTGAAGGAATTTGATCCGCATACTTGTACATGGTCTATTGTCAAGACTTATGGAAAACCACCGGTAATTATTTCTTCAACCTAGCAAGCTCTGAACAAAGACCTTTAAATGTAATCAACTACCTATTCTTTGTTTCACTGTGCTTTAATTAGTAAACCCGTCTTAAAAAGGAAAATTCTGTGTACTTTGCTTGATTTTAGCGGAGTTTGTTTGTTTGAACACAGTTTGCTACGTGTAACGTAAATACTTTAAAAGTTTGTGGAGAGTGCTTATGCACAATGGGCTCAGCTAAATATGCTTTGTTCGAACTAAGAGTTTGATTTATTTAATGATAGTATAGTGTGCAGTAAAATGAGGGCTTCAGAATCGTATGGAGACTGGATACCTGCTATGTTTGATTCTAATTTTTTAGAAGCAAGGGATTTACAAGTCTTGTTGTTTCATACAACTAAGCATTTGGGATAATCATCATATTTTGCTTCTTTTCTCTCCTTGTTAAGTTTATGGAATGGAATGCTTATTCCTAGGTAATATGCTTTTAAGTCACTGATGCATAGTCAAATGGTCCAAGAGTCGCTACCAGTGATCACTGCACTGAAAAGCGTCTGGCAGGCATGAAACAAGTGATAATTGCACTAAAAATGATGTTCTTTTGTCTTCTGTGTATATTCAAGTATAATAAATTTCTTATATAAGTTCCATCTGCTGCAGGTTTCTCGTGGGGGTCAGTCTGTGACTTTAGTTGGAACAACTCTAGTCTTGTTTGGTGGTGAAGATGCAAAACGGTGTCTTTTAAATGACTTGCACATTCTTGATCTTGAGACCATGACATGGGATGATGTGGATGCAATGTGAGTACTTGAATCTTTGTCTTATGCTCAGCTGTTCTAGTATGCACTGTTTATGCATCTTGAAACCATGATATATTGAATAAACTTGGACAATGATAGAATGGAGAACAACCTATTTTGAGGGCTAAACTTATGTTACTATATCTCCATGAACTCATCATATTTTTTGGCTTTTTGTAGAGGCACCCCTCCTCCAAGATCAGATCATGCTGCTGCTTGCCATGCTGATCGCTATCTTTTAATTTTTGGTGGAGGGTCTCATGCAACATGTTTCAATGACTTGCATGTCCTCGATTTGCAAACAGTAAGAACTGTTAGCTTGCTGGAATTCACAAACATTGGCATCTATACAATGTGGCATGATTTCTAATTTTATCGATGGAATTACAGATGGAGTGGTCAAGACCCAAACAACAGGGTCTGGCTCCAAGCCCACGAGCTGGCCATGCAGGTGCAACCGTTGGGGAAAACTGGTACATAGTTGGTGGTGGCAATAACAAAAGTGGTATGCTTTTTAGTGCGTACACTTGCAGTGTGAAAAATATTTTCTTACTAATTGCAATGCAAAGATGTCTTCATACTACTGCTGGCCTTTTTCACCTCCTTAGATAATTCCTACACTTATTATTGTACCTTGTCAATTGCTGCACTGCAAAGAGTTTGGAAGCCACCTTTTTTTTTGCCAATCCTTGTCTGTGTATAGCACCTCAGCCCTGATCCAACACTTAGATAGTGGTAGAATTTATTATTTGTCTATGCAACTTGTCAACTTGGTGCCTTATATGCAGGAAGCTTTTTTAGATCAATGTTCACTGTCTGGTACAATCTGCATCACTTAACCTAGAAACTATATCCAGTAAAACCCACAAAGCCAGTACAACTATCCTTGCCATCTTGATATGCAAATTGTACCTTGAAACTAGGAAGATTAAGGTTACTTTCATTCTAATGCCACATGGAGTTCTTAAATAGTAACAAATTGATTGTATTTTTTGTACACTTGCTGTAGGTTCATCAATTTTAAATTATATATATACTTTATTTACAGTTAGAATGTATTTAGCTTATACTTTATTCTTTGCAGGTGTCTCTGAAACACTTGTGCTTAATATGTCAACTTTAACATGGTCAGTTGTTAGCTCTGTAGAAGGTCGTGTTCCCCTTGCCAGTGAGGTACGACTCTTGAGTATTACGCAGTGCTTAGAATGGTTTTGTTTCAGTTGGTAATGTTTTGATCTGTTATTCTTTTAGGGCATGACTTTAGTGCATAGCAATTACAATGGAGATGATTATCTCATTTCTTTTGGAGGATACAATGGACGATACAGCAATGAGGTAACTGGCTTTTCTTTAGGATTTTAGATTTATTTTTAGTATCTATGTGTGGAGGTAATTTGTAACAAGGTTTTTCCTGATGGACAGGTCTTTGCTCTTAAACTTACCCTCAAATCAGATTTGCAGTCAAAAACAAAAGAGCATGCATCAGATGGTACATCCAGCGTTCTGGAACCCGAGGTTGAACTTTCTCATGATGGGAAGATCCGTGAGATTGCCATGGACAGTGCTGATTCAGACCTGGTAATCTCTTGTGCAGTACACTTCGATTGAACAGAAAGTGTGTTGACTCTTTTTTGCAAATATGGGTTTTTTGTAGAAAATTAGTGTCTGTGAAAATAAAATTCTGTGAATAATCATTCCAGTATTGTTTGTTGCTACCATGCTGATTATGTCTTACCCATGAGGAATGATGCTTTAAGACACTCAGCTGTTCTGTCTGGTGATGCTGTGTTGTTTTTCAGAAGAAGGATGACGCAAACGAACTTTTAGTAGCTCTTAAAGCTGAGAAAGAGGAACTAGAAGCAGCACTTAACAGGGAGCAAGTGCAAACTATACAGCTTAAAGAAGAGATTGCTGAAGCAGAGGCTAGAAATGCAGAGCTGACGAAGGTGAGCCTCCTGCATAATCTTTCAATTATGCAATGAACCTATTTTTACAAATTCTTCTGCATGTAACTTATTATTATTACATTTTCATTTGTTTTATAATCTGCTTTGTAACCTGTAGTCTGAGTACTACACACAACACCCTATGGCACTATTTAACACATGCACTAGGATTGAGCTTACCCTGTACTGAATAGTGTGTGATGTTCATTGCTAGCAGTATGTATTATCGCTGTTTCTAACATGTCTTGGTCCTGACATATAGGAAAAATATGAAGTGCAAACCACATAGGTAGTGGAAACCTGTAGACTACCGTTGGATAAAAAAATGGACGCATGAGATTTCTCCATGTCATGAGTCATGGTTGAATCTAGGAGTAAAATTTTTATTCTTGGTAACGTGGACAAATCTCCGTTGTCCATTTTAGATCCAATAATAGTTTTCAGGTTTCCACTACAGATGTGGTTTGCACTACATATTTTGCCTAGCATACATGTCCACAAAGGAACGTAAGATGAACCGTGTAGGTGACCTGACCTTGCAAAGGTACATTTGGATTACATGGTGTGCATAGTGCTATGCACACCTCACGAGTTTTGGTGTATGTGGAGATCTGAATCACTTCTTTGGAACGATATATCCTCAATTTTGTTGGTTTGGATTTTGTAGGAACTTCAAACTGTCCGTGGCCAACTTGCTGCTGAACAGTCAAGATGTTTCAAACTTGAGGTATGGAGTCTTACATTGTACAAATTAACAAAATTTGCTATTTTTACTACGTTGCCAGCAGTAATAGCTCGGATTAACCCGCATAAGAAATAACCTCCTGAACGACCTTCCCAAGGGAGAACATGATAAACCTAGGTGGTGTTTGTATCCAGGGACTTCACTTTAGTCTCTGTATTTAGACACTAATTTAGAGTATTAAATATAGACTACTTATAAAACTAATTACATAAATGAAAGCTAATTCGCGAGACAAATTTTTTAAGCCTAATTAATCCATAATTAGAGAATGTTTACTGTAGCATCACATATAGGGTAATCATTGATTAATTAGGCTCAATAGATTCGTCTCGCGAATTAGTCCAAGATTATAGATGGATTTTATTAATAGTCTACGTTTAATATTTATAATTAGTGTTCAAACATCCGATGTGATAGGAACTAAAACTTATCTAAACAGGGTCCTAGTCCTTTCTTTCCGAAATTGCACTGTGTGTGTGTTTTGTGGCAGACAAATGAGTTCAACAAGTAGTAGTAAACAATTTGGTTATTGTGTAGCACATGTGATGAGTATATCCTGATCACACTTTGGTTTCCCCAAAATGCTTTTCTAGGTGGATGTTGCGGAGCTACGGCAGAAGCTCCAGAGTATGGATGCATTGGAAAGGGAGGTTGAGCTGCTTCGAAGACAGAAGGCTGCCTCTGAGCAAGCAGCGTTGGAGGCAAAGCAAAGGCAAAGTTCCAGTGGCATGTGGGGCTGGCTGGTGGGAACCCCACCTGATAAGTCCGAGTCTTGATCACCTATCTATCTTTACCCGACAATCTCATACGGATCGCGCAGATTCATATACGTGTAACATGTATAAACTTTTTGAATGTCTTCTACACTTTTCCTTTTCCTTTTTCTTTTTATCGTTTTCTGGCATTCGTGTTCATTTGGCGACAAAACAATAAGGCGTTTTGGCAAGCGTTATCTGATATTCTCATAGAAAATTGTTAGCTCATCCTTGTATCGCATTCAATTCTTATTAGGTCGTAAAAAAGCTTGTATACACCTTTTTGTGGGCATTCTTTGGACATTATGTTTGCGTGTCAAATCTAACTATGCAGGGGCGGGCCCACTATGTATTCATGGGTATTCAGATGTATACCCAAGATTTTTGGAAAAAAAAAAGGTATATATACTATATAGTTCATATAGGTATTAAAAAAATAAAAAGAAAACTTAAACTGCTTATATTGGGCCTTGTTTCCCCATTTCTTCTCTATTGGGCCAAAATTTTCCACTCCCCTCCCTCTTTCCTCTCTACCTGTGGTCTAATTGGGCCACATCTCAGCCCATTTGCAATTTTCCCCCAATTCCCCACCCGCCTGGCGCCTTGGCCACCCAAACCTGCAAACCCTAGACCACAACACAGCAGTACAGCACGGCGACGGGAGGAGGCGTGCGGCGGCGTGACGTGCGGCGGCCGGCGGGGGCTGCGTGCAGCGTGCGGCGGCCGGCGGCGGGAGCCGTGGCGGCGTGTGGCGCGGCCGCGGCGTGCAACGGCGCGGGCGCGGCGGCGGCGACGGCGACCGGTGAGGCGGTGAGCCGCCAAGGCCAAGGCGCCAAGCCCGTGACCGGCAGGCGCACCGTGACCGACGGGCGACGGCGTGCCGCGTGCGGCAGCCGGCGCGGCAGCCTGCAGGGGCCCAGGAGGCAGCCAGGCAGGAGGCTGCTCCAGGCCGTCAGCCGAGCAGGAGCAGGCGCTGCACAGCTGCAGCCTGCAAGTCGGCGTCCGCCGTTCCGCGCCGAGGCCCGAGGCAGCCGGCGGCTGCGCGCTGCCGCTGCGGCCGTGCGGCATCCTGCTCGCCGGCGACTGCCTGACCTGCAAATTCCGGATAAGCACATTAGCACAGTGAGTGACTAAACTCCGGACAACGGGACAAGCACAAAAATTCATTGATTTAGACATTTAGTATTTTAGTGTAGTTGCTTGCTTGCTTGCTTGCTTGATTTAGACATTTAGTTTGTAGGATTGTAGTTGACTAGTTGCCTATTTGAGTATTTGAGTAATTGAGTATATTGGACACTGGACAGTAGTTCATAGTTCATACCATATTAGCAAATTTGTAGTATTTGAATGATTGTTTGGTTACATTCATTGAAAGAGAATTCTTTTTGCAAGCTAAGGACAAGGACATCATCAATTATTTCCAAAATATCAAGCGTCGAAAAGTTAATATCTAAATTGTAAGTTTTCTTCCTAACTTATTATTCTCTATCATTTTTGTATTCCATATTTTGACACTTTGATATGTTTGGTATTAGTATTTCTATAAGTTAAACAATTTCTAGTGATGATCAATTCTATCACTGTGTGAACTAATGATCAATTTTATTCTATACGCTCTAAATTATAATTATTAGTGTATCATAATATACAAGCCTATTTTTTGGCTTTTTGGTGTATGGACATTTTTTTACCCCTTCCCATTTCGAATACCCAAGTTTAAAAAGCTGGGCCCGCCACTGTAACTATGAACTTTTGGCAAATTCCATGTGAAATGTTCATGGTATGTTGTTAGCCTGTGATTTATCTGTACCTGTTTCGCTGTCCTGTACTGTACTTTCAGCGACACCTGCTAGTGAAAATGATGATTGTTAATTGCTAGTCCAAGTGTATTTGCACAGGAAGCGACATCACGTCTATTGTTTGTGCTTGTGTGATCATATGAAATGACACTTATTTTTGCAGAATCACATTACAAGGGCGCTTCATATTATTAAGAACACTAGAACAAATATGACATGGACACGGATCATCATGTTAGCACGCTCATTTCTTGTCAGGTAGCTTCTTTAACAGTTCGTCAAGAACTTCGAATAGATCAGCAACAATGCCATAGTCCGCAACCTGGCCAACATGATTATAAGAATCTTAAAATCCTAAGGTTGAAAGCCTACTGGCAAAGGACATGAAGAACAAAATCTTTGATGAAGCTCTGTAGACCCAAGATTTACCTGAAATATGGGAGCATCTGCATCTTTGTTGACAGCCACGATAACCTTGGAATCTCTCATTCCTGCCAAGTGTTGTATTGCTCCGGATACTCCAAATGCCATATAGAGCTCAGGCGCAACTATTTTCCCAGTCTGACCAACCTGAGGGGAGATAGAACACATTGCAACATAAGTAATAAATTAAGCACCAAGGGAAAGAGATAAAAGTGCGCGTAAATTTGCAGCTATCATGATGGCAATGCACTGATGCAGTAAGCCTTTTTTTTAGGGCGCTAATGCAGTAAGCTTCACTACGCTTGTAGTAGCACATGCTGGAACCTACAGTTTCATATCAGCTGAATCCATTCAATTATCTTCTGACATGGCATGTATCCAATCATATCTATTTAATTATCTCCTGACGTGGCATAGAGCTCAGTTTGTAGAGCTTACCTGAAGTTCATTGGGAACAAATCCTGCATCTACGGCAGCTCTGGTCGCACCCACTACAGAGGAGAAACATAATCCGTCAGAAAACGAATGCACAGCGAAATGAATTTCACGAGCCTTGATAGGTTCAAATACCAACCGCAAAGAATATGGGTGCTACCTAGTAGGTATAGATGGACAAAGGGAAAAAAAAAGGCTCAAACCTGCTGCTCCAAGTTTCTCAGCAAGCTGCTCCAATACTTTGAAATTCTCAGCACTTTTTAAACCTCTGCCTCCAGTTACTACTACGGGTGCATTTGCAAGATCGGGCCGTTCTGTATCTTGGGATTTCAGATTCACCCATGCAGATTTCCCAGAGCTTCCTGTACATTGACAAGAAAAAAGTAAGCATGTATACACCTATATTTGATGTCAGAAAAGTGTCCATATTAAGGATCAAAACAGTTTATTTTCCCTGCAGCAAGGTTCAACTTCATCAGAAACACAATAAGGACATAGACAACAAAATCGATCTAGTATTATCTGTTGATTTCCAGAGTTCAGTGCAGAACTCAACACTCAACAGTATGTTCAATATCAATATCCAAAAAGAGCAAAACATAATGGATAAGAACGTTGTTTTCTTAATAGAAGAATATAGTGAAGAAACCAAACAAACCTTCACTGAGGAAAGAGAGATCAACCTGGGTGATAGGTGCAACTTTTGCTTCTGACATAGCCTCAGTTGGGGAAAATGATGTTGACCTAATGCTCATCATACATGGATCCTCTCCAGTATATCGCACAGTACAAAGCGCATTTCCAGCATAAATGGGCCTGAATTCAGAAGCATAAATATTATTATACCATAAAGGTATACAATACATATGGATTAGAAGAGAGAACAACTCTTGGGGGTGCAAATTGCAATGCTGCGCGCACAAGGCTAATGGTTCATCCACCCAAGGTTCCCTGCATACCATTGTTCTTCATACGGATAAAATGATCCCCACAAAAGAAACACATGGTTGCAAGCAGAAAGAAATGTAGAATGCCATTATGCACTCATGGGAAATGGGCTCATAAGATTAATCTTTAGCCCATAGGATACCATAAATTAATAAGATCAGTGTCCAAAGAAAAGGGAAAATGGAAAAACCACTATTAATCAGCATTAGAAAAGGGAAAAACAGTGGTGTAATAATATTTAGCAGATTCAGTATCAAATAGTGGTTAGATTGTCTGGAGATTGCATGTAGCTAAGTTGCAAAACATGTGAAATGCATAGAAAATGCTTCATGTACTACACAACATGTATGCATCGTGTGTTGCAAAACCTCGTGCTATAACCTTGGGTATCTGCGAAAGGTGTGCACTACACAGAATGGCAGACGGGCAATTCTCCTTGAAATGCTAAGCTTCATGGAAAGGAGTATGAATGTATGACGACAAACCTCACAAAGACTCGTGGCTCAGATATTGAAGTGACATCCGTAACAGGGGACACATCAAGAAGGGCAGCAGCACGTGGAAGCAAATTCTTCCCGAACGAGGTTGATGACGCTATAACATGTGAGTATCCACCTTTGTGCTGAACAGAACGAAGTAGCTCGGCCCAAGGCTCAGCCAATGGATGCGCAAAGACATCTGAATCAGCAACAAGAACCTGCAGCGAAAGCAAGCCAACTGATAAGCACAATATCGAAGAGCAGAGGTTATCAATTATCATCTCCATCCCTGAAATGAATCAATAATAGGCTTCTAGAATTCAATCGCTCAAGCACAACAACACATAGGAACAAGATGTAGCACATGACCATACCTCGGATACCAATGGATGGCTGGACGCAGCATGCTCGGCAGCCTTGTGAAGCCCCGGCCCGGATCCGCCCAACAGAAGAGAAACCCTATTATCATCCTTGCCGATTGCTTCTGCGGCCGCCAATGCGCTCAGAGATGAGGGCTTCACGAACCCACCTTCGTGCTCCGCTACGACCAGCGTGCTCACCTAGCATCATCAGGGCATGAGAGCAAGTACGCGGTTAGGCACAGTCGGAGCCAATCGTGGGAGCGCAAAAGCGACGAATCCGATGAAATCGAAAGGAGAAATCGTCTCGAAACATTCCTCCACCAACCGCTTATTAATCGAATCGAATGCACAAGGGGAAGAAGAAGCTTACAGGTCTAGGGAGCGATCGGGCGAAGGACCGCGAGCTCCCCCCGGCGGTGGCCGTTCCCCTCCTCAACGCTCCCACCACCATCGCCGCCATGGCGCGCAACACAGGTCTCCCGATCTCCTGCTATGCTTGCTCTCTCAGATCGGAGGGAAGCCGAGAAGAAGCGAAGAGCAGCAGCGCGCGGGCGCGGCGGCGAGAAGAAGCGAGGAGAAGAGGGCGGAGACGTGACGGGATCAAATTGATGGCCACGTCAGTGTTGCATCGGCCTTGTACTACTATACTCCGGCGAGGGAGAGGAAGACGGCGGCGAGCCCAGCAACCAACCAGGAGGAATCTACCAGATTCAAGTGGGCCTAGCTTTTCTGCCATACAAATGGGCCGGATTGTTGCAGAGGAGCTTCAGTGGAGTAAGTCACTTTGACTCCCTTAACTAGTGGCCAAGTCTGATTTGTATCCCTTAACCACAATACAGATATCTTGACCCCCAAAATTATTAAAATCGGTGTAATTTTTTGTTAGTCAAATTTATTACTAAAATATAATAATATTTCTAATACAAAACAAAAACTGAGAATGTATCAAAAATGTATTCAATGTTATATTTCTGCCACACTAGTATTCAATTCAACAAATGGGCCGGATTGCGTGCAGAGGTAACAATATTAATAAATTAGGGATAAAAAAAATACTACTCCGTCCTAAACAAAGACAAACCCTAGCTACGAACCTGGATACGCATATGTCCAGGTTTATAGTTAGGATTGGGTTTTTTTTGGACGGATGGGGTATATTTTAAAAATAAATTTAGCAAATATAGTGATTTAATAAGTGTTGCAGTAAATGAAACTTGTAATAATTGGGCTGGGCTTTCAATATGAATAGGCCCAATATTCTATGCCATAGCAATAGATTGGCCAATTTCAAAACTGTTGATTTGTTGTTTCCAATTTCAAAATGATCTACTCGGCCACCCATGCCCAAATTAAATCATGTTTTTTTTTATTAAAACATAAAACATAGTGCGAACAATAATGTTTATATATACATGTGCACGCTTTAATGCTTTATCTCTATAATCATGTCTGAGAGATTAAGTCGACGACACATAGATTATCACATGTGTTTCATTATTGACGGGTAGTTGCCTACTATTTAAAAAATAATTAGCCGTAAATATGAGCATATGTTTAAGTCTGGTACTTGAACTTGGGTTCCACTAGAATCTAACTAGAGCTACGCCAGTTTGCAAACTAAATCATGTTATCACTTGATCATTAGAGTATCAGACTATAATGATTTCCTGTGTGGTTGATCTTAGCCTCTAGTAAACAGGACCGATTTGTTTACAGAAGTCACAATATACAGTTTGAATGCTTTGTATCGTCGTCATCATCAGTGAAGGCTACACGCCTCCAAACACAAAAACATGGCCACACACAGAGAGACAGAGTGAGACCTCGCACTCACACTCACACTCACACTCACGACGAGGCAGGCAGAAACAGACGATGACCTGAGCTAGTGAGAGTGATGGGTGGGGCCCACACGGGGGAGAAAAAGAATAGGAATCCTAGTCAGCCGTGGGGCCCACGAGAACGATGGCCACCCATTAGAGCACCCACAATGGTAAAGTAAAGTGCTCTCTATAAAACATGTACATCTCAGCAATATACTAGATTAATAGTAAACCATCTCAATAGTATGTCTACATGGGTATGTATAGCTCTCTAATGGATTGCCTCGTTTTTCTCTAGACTATTTCCAGGTTAGTGTTAGATCTTATCATATCTTATCATTCTCTGTATGGATATGCACGGATGCATGTTGGTTCGGATAGATAGAGGATAGGACTCTAATCCCTTGTAATTAGGATCACCGAACCAACACATCTGCACGCATATATATCTGTAAACTCAGCGCGTTTTTGCATATAGTGAATCAACACGAAACCCTGCGTCCACCGTGACGCTTTCCTGCATACACCTGAGTTTTATATGGTATCAGAGCCTCAAAGTCCGGCGTGATGGCAGGTTCCTCGTCAAGCACTGCCTCCACCAATCCTCTCTTTGGCGTTCAAGTTTCAGAGAAACTGACCAAAGGAAACTATGCGCTCTGGTCGGCGCAAGTCCTGGCCGCGATACGCGGCGCCCGTCTTGATGGCCACATCACCGGCGCCACCGCCGCTCCATCCATGGAGATCGAGAAGACGGCGAGCGACAAGACGACGGAGAAGATCGTCAACCCCGCCTACCAGGAGTGGTTTGCCTCGGACCAACAGGTCCTAGGCTTCCTTCTCTCCACGCTGTCAAGAGACATTCTCACCCAAGTGGCGACGGCATCCACGGCGGCGCAGGCATGGCAGCAGGTGTGCGCCATGTTCACTGCACAAACCAAAGCCCGGTCGCTCAACGTCCGGCTTACTCTCACCAATACCCAGAAAGGTAACATGAGTATATCTGAGTATTGTGGCAAGATGAAAGCACTAGCAGATGAAATCGCTAGTTCAGGGAAACCCCTTGATGAGGAAGATTTAGTCGCTTATGTTCTGAATGGGCTAGATGATGATTTTGAACCTGTTGTATCTGCTATTGTGGCACGCAATGAGTCGACCACAATGGCGGAAGTGTACTCTCAGCTTCTTAACTTTGAGAACAGGCAAGCTCTTCGGCAAGCTCATGCTTCGGCGAACGCGGCCGTGGTGGTTTTCAGCGTGGTCGCAGCGGCGGCCGTGGCACACGTGGGCGCAGCAATCCTGCTGCTCCAGGACGTGGGCGCGGCACTGGAGGAAATCAGACTCGGGGTGGTAATGACCGCCCCATCTGCCAAGTGTGCCTGAAGAGGGGGCACGTCGCTGCAGAGTGTTGGCATAGGTACGATGAGACCTATGTCCCTGATGAAAGGAGTGCGGCTGCAGCAGCTGCATATGGCATCGACACCAATTGGTACCTCGACACAGGGGCAACCGACCACATCACCAACGAACTCGACAAGTTAGATGTTCGGGAGAAGTACAAGGGAGGAGACAAGATTCACACCGCAAGCGGTGCAGGTATGGAAATTAAGCACATTGGTGATTCTGTCATTCATACCCCTACTCGTGAATTACATCTCAAAAATATTTTACATGTTCCTCAAGCGAAAAAGAACCTTATCTCTGCTCATCGTTTAGCTATGGATAATTTTGCTTTCCTTGAGGTTCATTCCAATTATTTTTTGATAAAGGATCGAGCCACGAGGAACACGATTCTTAAGGGGAGATGCCGCCGTCGCCTCTACTCCCTTCCTACATCACCTGCCAAGCAAGTCCATGCCGCCACAACTCCTTCCTTCTCCCGATGGCATAGTCGTTTGGGACACCCAGCCGTGCCCATAGTCACTAGAGTTCTTAGCAAGAATAATTTACCTTGTTCTACCGTAGCAAATAAAGACTCAATTTGTGATGCCTGTCAAAAGGGCAAGAGTCATCAGCTTCCCTATCCTAAGTCTTCAAGTGTGTCAAGTCAACCTCTAGAACTTATTTTTTCTAATGTCTGGGGCCCTGCTCCTATTTCTGTTGGTGGAAAGAAGTTTTATGTCAGTTTTATTGATGATTATAGTAAATTTACTTGGGTTTACCTTCTTAAGCATAAGTCGGAAGTATTCCAAAAGTTTCAGGAGTTTCAAACTCTTGTTGAGAGATTTTTTGGTCACAAAATTCTTGCTGTTCAAACAGATTGGGGGGGAGAGTATCAAAAACTCAACACCTTCTTTGCTAAGATAGGTATCTCTCATCATGTTTCCTGTCCTTATGCTCACCAACAGAACGGTTCAGCTGAACGAAAACATAGACATCTCATTGAGGTTGCACTCACATTACTAGCACATGCATCTATGCCAATTAAATTTTGGGACGAAGCCGTTCTTGCTGCGGCATACCTTATTAACCGCACTCCTAGCAAGGTTATCAACTTTGCATGTCCTTTAGAACAATTGTTCAAGGAAAAACCAAACTATACAGCATTGAGAATATTCGGGTGTGCTGTTTGGCCCAACCTTCGGCCTTACAATAAACACAAATTAGCTTTCCGTTCCAAGAGATGTGTTTTTCTAGGCTATAGTAACCTACATAAAGGGTTCAAGTGTCTAGAAATTGCCACAGGCAGAGTCTATGTCTCCAGGGATGTAACCTTTGATGAAAGCATTTTTCCTTTCTCCGAACTCCACTCAAATGCCGGCGCACGCCTTAGAGCGGAAATATCTCTCCTTCCACCATCCTTGGTTCCGCATCTTTCTTCATTAGGGGGAGAACAGAATAACCATGTGCTTAATTATCCGCCTAATGTTACTGATCAGTTTGGTGAAGAAAATGCAGAAATCGGTGAAGAAATTGTAGCAAACGGTGAAGAAAATGCAGCAGCAGCAGCAGATGAAAATGCAGCAGCAGCAGCAAATGGTGGTGCACAGGACGACGTGCATGGTGTGGCATATGATGCGTCGCCGGAGCACTCTTCGCCTGTGACAGATGATGCGATGGCGTCGGCAGCTGAGCAGCATGGCAATCCAATCCAGGAGGAGCACCTGGTGCAGGCGTCCCCACAAACAGCGTCGTCCACATCGCCATCTGTTGCATCATCGGCTGGCGTGCATGATGATGTGACTACTGATCAGTCTGATCAAACTGATCAGGCCATGCCAGAAGCAGCTGTTGCACCGATCAGACCAAAAACACGTCTCCAAAGCGGGATCAGGAAAGAAAAGGTATATACTGATGGAACTGTTAAATGGCTAAATTTTACTTCTTCTGGTGAACCACAGAGTCTGGAAGAAGCAGTGAATAATAAACACTGGAAGGAGGCCATGGATGCTGAATACATGGCACTGATAGAAAACAAGACATGGCATTTGGTTCCTCCTCAGAAAGGAAGAAATGTCATAGATTGTAAATGGGTGTATAAGGTCAAAAGGAAAGCAGATGGCAGTCTAGACAGGTATAAAGCACGGTTGGTTGCAAAAGGATTCAAGCAAAGGTATGGCATTGATTATGAAGATACTTTTAGTCCGGTTGTTAAAGCTGCTACTATCAGAATAGTTTTGTCTCTTGCTGTCTCTAGAGGTTGGAGTCTTAGACAATTGGATGTTAAAAATGCCTTCCTACATGGAGTCCTAGAAGAAGAGGTCTATATGAAGCAACCACCAGGGTATGAAAAGAAGTCTATGCCTAACTATGTCTGTAAATTAGATAAAGCTCTTTATGGACTTAAACAGGCGCCTCGAGCTTGGTACTCCAGGTTAAGTACTAAGTTAAGTGAGTTAGGCTTTGTACCTTCAAAGGCAGACACATCACTGTTCTTCTATAAGAAAGGACAGGTTTCTATATTTCTTCTGATATATGTTGATGATATTATTGTGGCCAGTTCTGTACCAGATGCAACTTCAACACTTCTGCAGGAACTAAGCAAGGACTTTGCTCTTAAGGACCTTGGTGATCTGCACTACTTCTTGGGAATCGAGGTCCATAAAGTGAAGGATGGTCTCATGCTTAGTCAAGAGAAGTATGCATCAGATCTTCTACGACGGGTTGGTATGTATGAGTGTAAACCGGTCAGTACACCTCTGTCAACCTCAGAAAAACTATCAGTAAATGAGGGAACATTGCTTGGACCTCAGGATTCTACTCAGTATAGGAGTGTAGTTGGTGCTTTACAGTATTTAACTTTGACAAGACCAGACATTTCTTTTTCGATAAATAAGGTGTGTCAGTTCTTACATGCTCCAACTACAACTCATTGGGCAGCTGTAAAAAGGATATTAAGATATGTTAAATATACAGTTGATACAGGTCTTAAGTTCTGTAGGAATCCCTCTCTGCTTGTTAGTGGTTTTTCAGATGCAGATTGGGCAGGATCTCCAGATGACAGAAGATCAACAGGAGGTTTTGCAGTGTTTTTAGGCCCAAATCTTGTATCATGGAGTGCTAGAAAACAAGCTACAGTATCAAGGTCTAGTATTGAAGCTGAGTATAAAGCTCTGGCTAATGCAACAGCAGAAATTATGTGGGTACAGACTTTGTTGCAAGAACTAGGAGTAGAATCGCCTCGAGCAGCCAAGCTATGGTGTGATAATCTTGGAGCTAAGTATCTTTCTGCTAATCCAATCTTTCATGCTCGTACAAAGCATATAGAAGTTGACTTTCATTTTGTGAGAGAAAGGGTAGCTAGAAAGTTGCTTGAAATTGCATATATATCTACTAAAGATCAGGTTGCAGATGGTTTTACAAAAGCTATACCAGTGAGACAAATGGAGATGTTCAAGAACAATCTTAACCTAGAAAGAGTTAAGATTGAGGAGGAGTGTTAGATCTTATCATATCTTATCATTCTCTGTATGGATATGCACGGATGCATGTTGGTTCGGATAGATAGAGGATAGGACTCTAATCCCTTGTAATTAGGATCACCGAACCAACACATCTGCACGCATATATATCTGTAAACTCAGCGCGTTTTTGCATATAGTGAATCAACACGAAACCCTGCGTCCACCGTGACGCTTTCCTGCATACACCTGAGTTTTATAGTTAGTAGATAACTTTGCTCTCTCTCTTCATTTAATCTCTTTCAAGTAGAAAGATATGCTGACATGGATCTCTTGTAAAAAGCCTATAAATAATCATTATGGGTGTCCTTAGGGCTGCCCTACCATCAGCCGGTACTAGAGTCTAGTACAGGGCAGTGGATGATAGCCAGCTGGCCACCTGCATGGTGGACACCCAGAACACAAGTCAATAATTGCCCGCCAATTAATCGCTCCCCTCCTAATCCTGAAGCCCACACACACACACCCCAATTGTTCGCCCTCTCAACGCCACGACAAGCCAACCCAAACGCCCAAGTGCAATACGGTTGAGTTGATGATACACCATGACCCAATCAATCCCCTTTTCAACCCAGATCCAGCTGTTTGATCGACAAGCATCTATCATGCACCCATGACCTGTTTGTTTAAAACTGCTTTTGAGAGCTGAACAGAAGATTCCGGCAAAAAAGAGTTGAATAAAAGAGAAGAGACATCCTTTTTCACACGCACACTGCTAAACGGTTTATTTTTCTTTAAAAAATACTTTCTCTAAAAAAATATATTAGTCCATTTTAAGTTTAAAAAATTAATATTTAATTAATTATACGTTAATATCTTATCGCAATCTTCTCTATTACTCTCTTCTCTATAACTTCACTAAGCTACTGTCATCGTTTCGTTTTGCTAATTATAAATCAATTTATCATCAATGAAAGCATATAATTTAGATACAAAACCTATATATATGCTTTTAGAAATTTAAAAACAAATACTAAAAAATAAACTATAGTGAAAAAATATCTCAAAATTAAAATTTAAAGTTAAAAGTTTTGGTTGCAGTTTATAAGCTGAGGGTAAACGATTGGAGTATTGGAATTACAGTTATGGAGGCGCGGAATATTAAGGTTACGCAACGATGTACTTAGGGTGAGTTTGAGGGTTAGGGGATTGAGAGGATTGGAAAGATACGTAAAACGAGGTGAGCCATTATCGCATAATTAATTGAGTATAAACTATTTTAAATTTCAAAAATAGATTAATATGATTTTTTAAGCAACTTTCCTATAGAAAATTTTTGCAAAAAAATACCGTTTAGTAATTTGGGAAGCGTGCGCGCGGAAAATAAGGTGTTTTCTCACCCTATCTCACACAAACGAACGCATTGGAAACTTCAAACTTATCTGGTATTAGGCAGAGGAATTTAAATTTAATCGATTTATCTTCCACAGATAAATCAGAATTCTTTCATTTTGTTATGGGCTCAGAGGATAGTTAGGGATTTCAACCATAATATACCTATTTAAAGGCGATTTTCGCAGTAACATTTTTACTAACAAGTTTTTACTGGGCTACTATACAACTGTCACTTTTTTGGTCATATCTCCAACATTTTGAATCACCATCAACATCTCTGTAATAGTGGTTCTTATTGTTGGATACTCTCTGTCTGCTTAATGTCATTTTCTCTAGGAAGGCGACCACACACCAATTCTGACATAAGCCTCGTTCAACGATTTATTACATCTCGGTATGCAACGCACAGTTCATTTAGTATTAATTGGAAAATAATAATTAAGTCTTCAATTTCACAATTAAAGTATTGAGTGTTGCATAATTAAGTTTTTAGATAATGAAAATGTATTACATCCTCAGTCTCTACCATCAAGCTCACAACTATGCTGCATAATTAATTGTAATCATCTTCTATACTAATACCAATATTTTCCTTCCATACAATTGCAAGTTTGCAACCCACAAATATATGTGAGGCCACGTCATCGAGAAACTCGACTAATGTTTCTATTTATTCTTGTCTATCATACTCTAGTTATTTACTCAAACTGTTGGATTTTGCTTTATACAATTTTCTGCATGCTTCATACAATTTCCCCCCATCAACTTATGAGGTGTCATCTAGTTTTGCTTGTATAGCTAACCCCACACTCAACACACAGACCTCTCTAAATTAGAAGATTCGTCAGAGAAATGGTTTGTGGTTATACAATACTGAACAAGAACAGCAAACCAAAAGGAACAAGAACAGCAGATCATAAGGAAGAGCGAAGAGGTACAAAAGCAGATCATACAGTAGCTATGTATTAGCACTCACTAAAAAAATATCCACTCGCACTTTTCTATACAGCTGCTTATCAAAAAGCAATTTGACGACAACAGTTTTAAACAAACATCACAATACCAACTGGAACCCTGATTAACGATTTCCATCAACATCACAACGCCACCAAAGCCACAACCAAACGATAATTATCATGTCTACTACTAATCGGGTTGGGAATTGGAATTTGCATCTATCTGCCATAGAAGGAACCCGATTCCGTGAGCACCACACCAAGCCACCAAACCTTTTGTTTTTGCTAGTGGAATTCCCCTTTGCACCCTCCCATTTCGCCTATAAATAGCCCCCCTCCGCTAAGCCTGTGAATGAAATCTCTTCTACAACTACTACCACCACCTCACCTGCCTTCGTCTACCTCTAGCTCTCTGTGAGTTGCCATTAGGATTTTTTTTCTTCTGTCTCGCCATGAAGCCTCCTCACTTTACCGGGGAAGGTTCAGGTTCTTGGGCTCACGAGGTCAAACAGGCCCTCCGTGACAAGCTCCGGCGGGCCTATGGCACCGCCGGCGCGGCGAGGCCGGCCGCCTCCGCCGTCAGCCGCGGCCCGAGCCACGGCGGCGACGACTGCCGGGGCTCGGCCGCGGAGGACCCCATAAGGAGAGTCATGTTCTTGGCTCCCTGGGGTCACACATAAAAAAGAAAAGGTAGATCTGAACTAAAGAAACATGCATGGGCATGCTGCATGGCCATGTCTTGATTGGTCAGATCTGCAAGAAACTGAACCGAAAACGGGGGGAAATTGAGTAAGTCTTGTAAAATTATGAATGATGGGAGTATGAGGCCATGAACATGAACTCATGCATGAAGGACTAACTAGGTAGTGATGATGGGTGGGTGTAATCTAAAAGGAAAACAAGGAGGTATGTAGTTCGTGTTTTTCTTGGCAAGATGAGATATTGAGATGTTCATGTGGTGCTGGAGCTTAAAACCTTTTAGCCATGAACATGAACTCAAGAAAGTATGGACTAGTAGAGTCTTGTGCAAAGTTATGAGAAAACCTACTCCATGTCCCACTTTGTTGCCTGTTGTTCTTGTTCAGATTACCTATGCAGAAAAACTCTGATGATACTATGTGGTTGGTGAGCTTTCTAACTATGAAATTATTATCTTTCTGTTTTGTCCTTTGATCTGGGAAGCTGATGGCTGTTGGAACCCTCAGCCATGAATACTCATCATGAGAACATGTTCTTTTCATGTTCATGTTTTCATGCAAATAAGATGGGAACTTGGGTTAGTGACAGGCTGTTTATCACAAGTTCTGCTTTTCATTCAGTGGAAGACCGAATCTTGCGTCTAAAAAACTATATCTGCTATATTCAGTATTACACGTAACAGACGGTCCTTGTGAATACTTTCTCAACCAAATTATCCATTTTTCGTTTTCATTTCTTGTGATCTGGGATGGCTGTTACATGTCAGGAAGCATGTATCCTGCTCTGAAGGACATTCTGATATGCTAATTGTGCAAATGTTTCTTTTATGTGTCGTTTCTTTTGATATGGAAGCAATAATTTCGCTTATGCAAGTCCAGAAACACAGGAATTCATATTTTCGAACATAATTTGCAACCCTAATAAAATCTGATGATATCATATATGTTTGTTATAAGCCCCCACTTCAAAGAAAGAAAAGAGAGAGAAGGCAAGACTTTGAATTCGATTCTCCTTTTGTATAAACTAATCACTTGAGAATCCTATTCTAAAAGACAAGAAATGAAAGAAAACCCCTCCCACTTGCAAAGGATAAACCAACACCGAGTGGGCCAATCCTCTTGCTCTCTTTCCCCAGCACCTTATCTTATCTTCGGATATCCACAAAGAAATTGTCATTGATATTACCAAACAAAAAAAGGGCACAACCGATGTGATAGGCTTTGATTTCAGTGTGTAGATCAGGACAACATATATATTGTCTAACACAAGGCAACAACTAACAGAAACTATAATTTCTCAGGTGTCATGCTTATCAGATGTCCAGCACAAAGGGCATAAGCATAGTAGTTCAAAAAGTTTACCAACCATTGACATAGCACAATATGATGGCCCTTGTTTTACCCAACATCTAGATTTCTTGTATTTGTCGAACTTTAGTTGCTTCATCGAAAGGGGCAACACAGAGAAAAAAAAAGATGGTAAGATGGTAATAACTTACAATGGTATTATGGTTTAACAGCTGCTACTGATCACAAGTTTCTCCAAAACAAGAGTAGATCTTCTTCTGCTCTTAAAGTTGTCCACCAACTGCACATCGGAGGGAGGGAAGCAAACATCAAATGGCAGCACAGCTACACTTGTCTTGATTCTTGACTGAAAGTGATGGTTCAACTTATATCCCTAGCTGAGTAGTAGGAGCCTGAACTCTGAAGCTTCCGAGCACTTCCCAACGCACCTATGGAATCACAAGTTAAGGGTGAAAATGATGTATAAGAACTTGGGCACAATATCATTTTCTAGATGTATCAGCAAAATTCACATAACAAAGCTTCACTCACTACTTCTAATAAGTATTTGGGTAAAACACAGTTCACCATCACAATTTCCATTAAGTAACCAACAATAAGTTCCCAGCTTCTTTACCGACAGACTAATGATCGTTGCACATCTGACAAGTTTTACTAGCCCATATAGCAACTTATCAGCTAAAACACTGATTTTCACTTAAGTGACTTTTATCTACTAAAATTATAAAAGACTTAAAAAGATTGGGCACTATGATGGTTTACCTTGGAATGGAGGACTCCAAGAAAGGACAGAACCTTTACATGACCTTCCAAGAGAAATTCAGTTTTGAAATATAAATAACCTGAGCAGAAGAAAGTAGATTCATATAGCTGTTTGAATTTTGTCTAATGGGTTGTCATACAACACTAATTTATAACTGGACCTTAAAACACTTGGGAATTAGATTTATAACCTGACCTTAAAACACTTGGGAATTAGAGTTTGTTAATTTAGTTGAAATGTAGCCATCAACTGAAGTTTGTTCCTTTTTTAGTCATTTGACCCCGTAACCCTCATTCTCTCAAAGCCATTTAGCCCAATTGGCCAATACAAATTGAATTTAGCCCATCACATTTTTATGCACATAATCCCTATTTCCAACCAGTCTGGAAAAAATGGTCCAATATATATACAGTATATTATATGAGCTCCTAAATTCTTCTCAAAATGATTTAAATATGGAAGGCTGGAAGGAACCAAGGATAATTATACAATACAAAGGATAACAGATAGACAGTCCCTTTGTTGTTAAAAAAGAAAGAACATGTAGAAAACAGTTCTACAATGAAAAGCCACAGTGTACATGAGTAATGAATAGGAGGAAATCTAGTCAGCAACAATAGTACTCTAACAAAAAAACATAGCCCTCCTATGTTGTTTTTTTACTTATACATGTGCAAAATAAACAAGAACACAAGGCGAACATGAGTTGACAGTAGAGCTGGAGGAATTTTAACGGAAGTTTGAAATAACAAGCAGAAACACAACAGAATTGGCAAGAAAAGCATAAAATGGTCAAGAAATTCTAAATTGTTGTACTAACCAGTGCTATTAATAATTACGATCAATAAAAGGATGCATCCTGTTCCATAAATACATTGTCATTGAACAGACACCTAATAGGGCAATCTTCAACTGCTCTGATGTATTAGCCTTTATGCTGACCCGTCCAGTTAATTTGTTGGTCAAATCAACATGAACAGCCACGTTTGAAGCTCTTCCCATAGAGAACTGGGAATCCAACTTTGCAGCCATGCTCCATTCTTTATGCCATCTAACCAGGGATGCTCCCAAAATTGCAAGGTCTTGACCCATCAGATAGTCTTTCTCTCGCAGAGTTGCCTCCATATTCACTCCATATGCAGTATCACCTCTAATGGACACAGCACCAGTGTTTGCTAACAATGTTAATCTATCACCTACTGATAGCTTGTCTTCAAACTTCGCTCCGGTCACCATAGTATCTCCCAAGAAAGTCATGGACAAACCTCCGGTAGTTGTGTTTTTCTTGGAGTTCTTGAATTTGCTCTCCCCTCTAAGAGTGTAAGCAAGCTGGTCCATTATGGTTTGGATGTCGAAGCCTGCAAGGCTTGAAACATTTTCCCTATGCTTAGCTGATATTGAGGACACCAAATGAATGGTGGATTCTCTCTTGTCCTTGTTAACTTGGACCCACAGAGAAGCTGGAAACGCATTGGCAGCATCAAGGCTATATTGAAGGCTCACACCATCAAACCCACAATCATGATCCCATCCATCAGGGTTGGTAATAGCACGCACCAGAAAGTTTGGCTTAGGGTCAAGGCACCGATAACGGTATGCTGGATCATCAGAGTCAAACGAAGATGGCAAGGCCCAATCTGGCATGACAGATCTTTCTGTCTCATATTCATCATCAGGATTATCATTGTCCCCAAGTACATCATGGTTATTTCCCTCTATCTTCATTTCCTTTAGTCTTCGGAGCTGTTCCTTCAACTGTTTCTTCTCAAGAAGCTTGGTTCGGTAGTCATACTCATCAAAGTACAATTTCTGTTGCTCCTTGGAGAGTTTCGCAACCTGTGATTTACTTAATGGCTTAAAGGGTGGAAGTTGATCGTAGTCATCTTCTTCATCCTCATTTATCAACTCATCAGGATCAATATCTCCAACATCTTGGTCAGCAGCACACCTTGGGTGCTCTCTAGATTGCAACAATGATGACAAGAAGTGAGGAAGTGGAGGCATCCGAAAACGCAGGCTAAAGAGGTTTGCGGGAGAAGCAACCCGGGCTGACAGGCTGTTAGTCTCAACTGTCTTCACTGAGTAGCACAGGAGGAGGAGCAGGCGCCTCCAAATAAGGCCATTAGGAAGCACCTTTTCACCCTCTGTGTTCCTCCGACAGAGGTGATGATTCTCCACAAGAGCTGATGTGTTCTCAAACCGAGGATCATTAGTTGCCTGCCGGATACTTTGCTGAATTGCATGAGTCCGCTGAGTGACAAACATCTCATAATTCAACGGGATGCCACTAGGCCCTTCAGGTGGAGCTGCTGCTGAGTGGGTGAGAGTAATAATGGTTTTGGACCATATTGACGAGCCTAGCACACTGGTAATACATTGCAGTAAGGATAAGTTGTTTGCATCCTGACGCTGGGTATCAATCCGATCAACATATAAAACAACATCAGGAGGGCATCTCTTGATATACTTCTTAACTGAGTTAAGCACTTTCCTGTTTGATTTTTCATCCATGTGAGTAGTCCCAAGTCCCGGGGTGTCGACAACACGAAACTTAACACCACCAACAACCCCAGAAATCTCCTTCACTGCAGTTGTTGCAGGAAGAAAAGCACTCGTTTTGGATTTGTCCTCCCCAAATATGGAGTTTATTGTTGCACTCTTCCCCACACCTGTCTTCCCAAGGACCAATACATTGCATGAGAATTCCAAGTCCTCTGTTCCCTCTGCTTCAAGTTGCAAAGCCTTCTTCCAGGCACTCTCAAGCTCAGAGGAATGATTTGCCACCTTTATGCGCCTGAATCCTTCAACAAGACTAAGCCGATACAACACTTGTATAGCTATATGATGTTCAGTGTCATACCCCAGTCTATGAATAAGACGCAAATACTTGATTCGTGCCACGTCCACCTTTCTGTACAACTTCCTCTCCTCTTCAGTCATCTCATTATCAGGGTTAGGAGCCACTTCCAACACAGGGCTAGAAGCCACATTTTTCCTAGGAACACTGACCGTAGTAGGAGGGACTTGCAGGGGCACAGATGATTCAATTGGGAAAACCTTGGCCATGCCTTGTCCAGGTGTGGCAGCTCTTAGAAGCTCAGCTAAAGCTGCATAGTCGAAAAACTCTATTTCCTTTCCGTTCACCTCACCCTCTTCCTCCTCCACATCATCATCATGAAACTCATCATCTGAATCACCCAGACCAAAGCGCCTGCCCTTGGAAGCAGGTACATTGTGCTCTGATTCATTTACAGGAATTTCAACAGCATTGTTGTTTCCAAAGGTTGGCATTGACACATAACCATCAGAAGCTTCATAACCACCATCAGTTTCCTCAGCGTCATCATTATGACCGTCATCGGTGACAAAATGCAAGTCGTCAACATTGGCAGGAACCTCTAAAAGCTCAGATGCGCCATCTCCTGTGGCAACATATCCAGTACTGGAATCAACAAAATTCGTTGCATCCTCATGATTGTCCGCGCCATCTTTTGCACCAGAATCATCATTGCGAAGCTCGAGATCAGTATCTTGTTTCTCTAGAGCACTCACCACTGGAGGCAATTCAGCAATCCCATTGTCAGACTTTCCACCCTCCATCTCCAATTCATCCTCAACATGCATACCACCACCGTCGGAGCCCCCAGATTCGCCTACCAAAGGCTCAGGCACGACACCATTGACAACCTCAGCATCAACAGACTCGCCTACCAAAGGCTCAGGCTCTATACCATTGACAACCTCAGCATCAACAGGCTCGTCATTGACAACCTCAGCACCAGAATCCTGATCCCCCTGCTTATCAACATTCAGCGGAGAACCATCTGAAGCACTCACCAAATCACCTATTGTGGTGACGTCAGTGTCATCGAACACGCCGACGACGCTCCCTGAGCTCTGGAAGCTCCCCTCCAACGAGCTCTCGACGCCTGTATTCTTGGCACCCGCAGTGACACCATTAGCATCCTCAAACCCGACCCTGGAGCCAGCGTCGAACACGTCGGCGAAGTTCCTGGCGCCCACGAAGCCCTCCTCTTTCAGAGAACCCTCCGCCGCGCCGAAGTACCCACTCTCGGTCGGAGAGGAGACACTCACCACCGGCTCGCCGCCGGAGATCGGGCTCGAGTCTTCGCTCGGCGGCGGCACCCTGGCGATGCGGAAGAAGCCGTTCGACAACTCATCCAGCACCTCCCCCGCCGCCTCGTCGTCCCCGTAGTCCGTGGATTCGTCGAACACCTCATCCTCGCCGCCGCCGTTGTCGTCCTCGGTGGACGAGAGCTGCGCCGCGACGCGCGGTGCCCCGAGGACCGAGGCGCGCGGGACGAGCGGCGAGGGCGAGCGGGACGGCGACGTGGCGGCGGAGGAGGAGCGCGAGGAGGAGACGGTGGCGGCGTCGTCGTCGTCGTCGTCCAGCGCGGAGAGCCGCGCGCGGATGGGGAGCAGCGCCATGGCGGCGCCCAGCTCGTCGGCGGCGGTGGCGGCGGCGGCGGCAACCTGGTCGTAGTAAAATTCGGATTCGAGAATCGAATCGAAAGGCGCCGCCTCTTTTATTAGTAAAGAAAATAATTCTTATCTCTTTTTTTTTTCTTTTTTTCTTTTTTTTTGCGGGAGTTGGTGCGGACTGCGGGTTGGGGGGATTCAGCCAGCGAGGGGCGAGGAGGAAGGCGGAAGAGGACACGTGACGGCGATGGATGGATGGATGGAAGGGAAACGAGCGGTGGTGATCGAGTTAGGGTTTGGATGCTTCCCGGCCTGAGGTTTGTCGTTTGGGCTTGGGAGTTTTGGATTCTTTCGATTTTTATTATACGGTTTTTTATTGGGTTTATCTGTTCCGTTTATTGTTGAGGATTGTGGTCATGGGATTTTATGAAAATTGGGGTGTGTTCAAGCTCTTATCTGTTTTCGTTTTTATGGTCGATATAGAATTTCATCTCTTGGTTGAGAAGAAGCGGATGGTTGTAAGAACTGTGTGGTAGGCAAAAACACATCTAGTAGCATGTATGTAATGGTGCTAGTTGCTTGAAAAAAAATGTAGTAGTAATTATATGAGAACTCACATATTGCATATTCCATTGTTGAAAAAGAAACACTTATCATCTAGCAATATTCTAGTCCTCACAATTAAATACTACGGTGTTTTATGATGGTATTGGTAGCATATCATCTTTTATTAGTAGTAGAATTAAGCTAGATTATTCGTATTTTCTAATCTAGTGGATCACATATATTTATACAACCACCTTATATATTTAGGTATATACTCCCTCCATCCCATTTTAAGTGCAGCCATGGTTTCCCACACCCAACTTTGATCGTCCGTCTTATTTAAAAAAAAATTAAAAATATAAGTCACGAGTAAAGTACTATTCATATTTTATCATCTTATAATAACAAAAATACTAATTATAAAAAAATTTCAAATAAGATAGACGATCAAATTTAGACGCGAAAACTCATGGTTTATAATGAGACGGAGGGACTAGTGTCATAGTGTCGGTGACCAATGAAGTATGAACCAAAGATCCCCGTAGCAAATGGCTCGCGCCAACAAGAAGCCACATGTCCCTTCCACCAACCTTTTTTTTTTTTTTTGCTAGGGTTGTTTGCTTTGCGACCATTTATTGTGAATGATCGGAGAAATTTGTTGTTCTCGGACATCTCGAGGACAACTCTTCATGAAAGCGGAACCATTCTGCTTCCTTGGGCCTTGGTGCCGCTTAAGGATCCCTTCATTTTAAGATAGATGTGATGGTTATCTACTTGACGGCACACAACATGAAAGGTAGTACTAGTAGCACGACAACTCCTGCCACTGCCATTGATCACATCCACTGATCCACCGTGTAGGCTCTGACACGGGCGTAGGAAACCAAGGGCGCACGGTTGACTACCGCACGCCAGCTGGGACCCACACTTTTTACTGCATTTTCACCAAGCAATGGCAAGGGGGCTAAGAGCATGGATAATAGAGAAGCCCGCAGTCGACTAATCACTGATGTAATGTAACGTTCCGCCTCTCCCAGACCGGGTCCGCTTACATCTGATAGCTTTCATAGGTTATAGACTGTCCTCACAGATCAACACATGTCTTTTCTGCACACTTTGTCCTCACTCGTGTGCACCTGAGAAGAATTTTCCGGTCGGTCACCCATCCTAAATTGCTCCAGGCCAAGCACGCTTAACCCTAGAGTTCTTTAGAGATTGGCAGGCCCCTGGAGTTCTTTGGAGATTAGCTTCCGAAAAAGAAGTTGGAATTTCCCGGTCGGTCACCCATCCTAAATTGCTCCAGGCCAAGACTTCCGGAAAAGAAGTTGCAACTTGTTGATATGAGTATTCTATTAATCCTATTAAGCCCTAGGCCAGAATGTTACACCCTCACCCCCTTAAGAGAGATCGACGCCCCCGTTGATCAACCCCAGGCCAGGAACGTCCTTCTTGGCCACGTCCATGTGTCCAGACCAACACATGTCTTTTCTGTACACTTTGTCCTCACTCGTGTGCACCCGGGAAGAATTTCCCGGTCGGTCACACATCCCAAATTGCTCCAGGCCAAGCACGCTTAACCCTGGAGTTCTTTGGAGATTGGCTTCCGAAAAAAAAGTTACAACTTGTTGATATGAGTATTCTATTAATCCTATTAAGCCCTAGGCCAGGATGTTACACCTCTCTTGTCACGCCCCGAACTAGTCCCGACCGGAACTAGCCCGTGACGCTCCAAATTAACCTGTTAATCGATACCAGTCCCAGGAAACAGTGCTGGTATCACAGGAAGACAGAATATCACAGCAACAGAGGTCTCTTTATTATAGAGTAGGAGTACAGTCATGTTGGGCTACGGACAGATCCCGAGCTCACAACTGCATTAAAAAGGGGAACGGAAGCCAAGACTTGGACCAAACATCACAGGCGCGACTTGGGAACTAGGCCGAAATCCTAAAACTCATCGTAGCCGGCTTGCTCCTGGAAGAACTCCTCGTCAGCGGGATCCGCTTCATCTTCTTCAGCAATTGGGGGGGATTATTTATATAGAGCAAGGGTGAGTACGGGAGTACTCAGCAAGCCATGGGAAATAAGTGTTTAATGTAGGCTTCAAAGAAAGGCTGTTGTTTTTGCAATTGATTTTATTTAAACTCTTTTCTGAAACAACTAAGTGAGTGCTTCTCAAACGACACGGATGAGACAGTGCGTCTCATCCGGTCGGAGTATGTGCAATGTATCAGTCTTTTGAATCGATCAAGGTTGGCACCCGGCCAACAGCTTTCAAACGGCCACCCGGGCCTGGCTGATCCCATCAGCCGCAGATTTTCCAAACATCAAACCCATTCCACAACAGCAAATTTCACAAAGCAGTAGTCAAACAAAACTACGCTAGGAATCACCTCATATCCGCCCATGACCGTGGGCACGGCTGTTCGAACAGTTTAATAACCTCTGCAGAGGGGGTACACTTTACCCACACGACATTACTAACCCGGATCATCCAGCCCGTGCAGAACGGCCACGACTAGAGACCTTAAGGCTTTAATGACAAGGCATTTCGAAAGCCGACACAGGTTCACCATATACCAACGAGAGGGGTCCCAGACCAACACCAGATTAGGTTCCAGACCATACTGTGCCAGGAAGCCCAGGGGTCCTCCCCGACACCACCCCGGCGAATCCACATGTCTCTTAGCATCATGGCTCCCCCGATAAGCTAGTTACTCAGCCAGGGGTGTCCCATTCCACCCATGTGGTCGTACTTGTCTTATGTTCGGATGAAATTTCAAGGAAACGGTCCTTAAGTGCAAGAGCGGGAAACCGTACACCCGGTACGTTCCCCGGTCCGCGATTTTGGAAATTCATTTAGGTTCGCAAGCACCGACCCAGGTGTCGGGTTTTCCAAGTCTTTTGTAAAACCCAAGTTTTACCCAAGATGTTTCTCAGATTTTAAGTTTGAAGGCGACCGTCGATACTCGTACAGAGTGCACGATTACCGAGGCGCAACTAGGTGGTTACAAGGGAACATGATATAACAATTACAATGGAAGGGTCAAATGCAACAAGTTAGGTAGGTCCGTCAATCTGCCTTGCAAACGGGACAAGCAGATTAAGTGTAATCCTATCAATGCATAATATTTTTTAAGCAACATAATTAAGTTCAAATATAGGCTCAAGATGTTCAAAGGTGGCTTGCCTCACTCGAGATCTTGAGCTTGATCCTCGAAATCCTCGCACTGCGGGTCTTCGGGCTCCGAAACTACACGCGAAACGGGACAACTCAGCAAACGGCGAAAATAAAGCCCTATTATTGACCTCTAAGCGTGCCATTAGATAGATCTCGAGATTTGAGGAATTTTGGAAGTTGAACGGAGTCAAACGGACTTACGATTGGGAAGATATTGAATTTCTAAGATTATTGGATTTTTGGTCTAAAGGAAAAGGATTTATTTAAATCCTTTTTGAAAAAGAAAAGAAAAGAAAAGAAGGAGGGAGGGAAATTAGACTTCCCTCGGGCGGCTAGGGCGCGGCCCGAGAGAATGGGGCGGCTCGTCCAAGCTTAATGGGCCGGCCGGCCCAAGAAGGCGGCCCAAGACGCGCGCGCGGGCGGGGAGGGGAGAGAGAGAGCCGGTGGGCCGGGTCCATCCCGCGTGATCCTGGGTGGGACCCGCTTGTCGGCGACTTGGCTCACCGTGAGCGAGGTGCACGCGGGGCGTGCTAGGGTTTGGGGAGGGAGGCGCAGCGCATGCGCGCGGTTCGTGGAGGACGCGGTGCGGCGGGCCCACGCGCAGCCTCACGGCTCACGGTGGACCGCGCGCGCGAGAGGGCGGAGGGAAGCAGCGGACCGGGGTCTGCTTGACCCGGTCGCGGCCGAGGTGGCGCCTACGTGGCTACCACGCGGGCCGGCGGGAGGTAGACGACGACGCCGGCCGGAACGGACGGCGGACGACGGCGGCGAGCGGCGGAGCGAACCATGGTGATACAGGCGAAGGCGAGCACACCGGGATGTTGCACAGGACGAGGGGAGACGAGCCAATGGCTCGGATTCGCCGGGGGATGCTCGACGGCGGCGGATTGCAGCGGCGGCGGCAACCGACGGCGGGAGAAGGGGGAAACGGCGATGAGGTCACGAGGGGCCGATTCCCAGCGGTGAGAGCATCTACGCGGCTACGGGAATCCGTTACTAGCGTCGGATTGGGAGGAGCTATGCCGAGCGAGGCCGGCGACGAGCGGGCGCTACGGAGCACGGGCGGCGACAGCGGCGAGCACACAGCGAGCGGCGGCAACGGTCGGGGCGGCACCAGCTAGCTACGGGAAGGCTACACATGCTACTACCGAAAACTAAGGGGAGGAGATGGATCGAGGAGGGAGAACGGGGGAATGCACTACCGAGATGAGGCGGGGCGCTGTGACAAGAGGCCGACGGCACGGGAGTGATCTCTCCGGCCTCGGGCCGGGGAAGAGGAAGGAGAGGGTGCGTCCGGAGTCCCCTTCCGCGTCCTAACGCGCACCGGCTCCTCCGGCACACGCGATGGCGGCGGCCGGCGAGAGAGACAGCAATGGCGCGGGCGAGAAACGGGGAAGATTGGGAGGGGAAAGAGGAAGGGAAGCGCTTGGGTTTATAGGGCGGCGATGTCGGTTTGGAAACCGACCTTGGGCGGTCAAGGGAGCGAGCTGGCGCTCGGCGCTCGCGGCCAAAATGGCGACAGGAGGGGGGGAAGGATGACGCCGGCGGGAGGAAAAAGAGAAAAAAGGGGGGGAGAGAAAGGGGGCTTGCCTCCTTGCCGCTTTGGGGAAAAGGGGGAGGGAGAGAGGGCGACGCGGCAGAGGGGGGAGGTCTGCATCCGTCCCTTGGAGGCACGCGCGGGGAGAGGCGGGGCCGAGTCGATGACGATGGCGATGACGGCGGGGCGGTTTGGAGTGGAGCGGCGACACGGGCGGCAGACGCGGGGCAGGCGCGGCAGGCGCTGACGGCGGCGGCGACTGGCCGGTCGGCCACCACGGCGCGCGCGCGCGCGGGCGGCGCGGCGATTTGGGCGGCATCGGCGGGAAGCGGCTGCGAGAGCGGGAGGGAGGGCTCGGCGCGGCTTACGACAGAGCGGGGAGAGAGAGAGAGAGCCGGGGAGGGAGGGGGAGATGGGCCGAGAGGGATTCGGCCATCGAACCCGAGGGAGGCGAAATAGACTTTGCGGAGGGATTTGATTTGGGAAGGATTTGGATTCGGGATTGAACTTGACGATAGATCGGGGATTTGAGATCTGAGATGGCACGGACACTAGACAACAAGCAAAGAAACGGATTTCACAAATAGGGTTTTTAAGAGATAGTTTTCCCGCTAGGCGCCACGACGGAACGGGCGCTACATGTAATAGCCAACCTAAATAAAGGCAGACGCTATACGTATTAGTAAATAAATCTTTTATATTTGTTGTGGACCCGGGGTCTACTCTTTCTCCCCTCGCTGAATGTGGGCTTAGGTTGTCAGTCTGTCTAGGCGCTTGTGCAGAGCAGGCGGTTGCAGAAGAGCCAACTTCTTTCTCTCACACCTACTCCCTCCGTCCCACAAAATCACAAACCCTAGAATCCCAATGCAACTTTAGGACAAGTGACAAAAGACAACAATGCCCTCAATACAAGTACATCCAATCATTAGTTACAAATAAAATAATAATACAAGTTGAATATCTGCAGCCAACTTGAGTAGAGTAGTACAAGTAGTACACCAATCATGGGCACCAAATATCTGTACAGGCCACTAATCCAGCGCGCCAACTAATTTGAATCAAACAACACCATTGCTTGGCGGCAAGAAATACAAATTTGAGCACACCCCAGCACAAGATACCCTATAAAAGCTCAAAATGAACCATTCTCACAAGTTTCCCTCCCAACTTATCACTTCATGAGTCTGCAAAAACACCACCTTCATGGCTTTAGATCTAAATGAACTAGCAGATGAGGGAGATGAGCAAGCTGTGCCTGACCTTAATGAACCAGTGGCAGATGAGGGAGATGAGCATGATGTGCCTGACCTTAATGAACCAGTGGTTGCAGAAGTTGAAATGCATGTTGGTCAAGAGGAGGATCAACTTGGAGGTGATGTGCAGGGAGGTGCCAACCATAACCATCCAGGTGACCTTGCAAGCAAGAATAGTAAACGATCGATCTTTGTACATATGACTTGCATAAATCACTCTAAATCTTTGGCATTTTTTTTTAAAAAAGATACCATGTGCATTGATGGAACTGCTATGTTCTTGGTTTTTTTCTCTTTGTTCTTTACCAGCTCGATTCTGTGAATGAGTTGGGCATATTGAAGTTCATTCCCTTCCATAATATCACAAGTTATACATGTATCTAGCTATAACTAATCAAATAGTGCTCACATGATGCTTATCTTCTGTCTACAATCAATCCTCATATGCTAGATTCTACATGTATAATTTCCTTTACAGTACCACTGATATTGAGCTAGTATTAGTATATATCAAAGTTAGATTGCACCTTCAATACAGATCACAAAAAGCCCTGAACTTCAGCACCAAAGTTTGTACAATGTAGAAAAGTCATTCAAGTATGGCCATAATATAACTAAAGCAGCAAAATACCCAATGGTTCTCCTGACTACAGCACAAGCACCTTTTGATAAAATCACAATCATGAATAGCACAAGTTAGGGAAAAAGAAACATGAGCACTTCCATGAGTTTATTTACAGCTGACATGGACCTCTATTGAAAAACAAGGTGAAGAGTACAATAACAAAATAGGTAGACAACAAAACTAAATTTGAGATGGATATAAAATTGGTACCTTGATTGTGGTTTTCAGATATGATAATCTCCTTTGCTGATGTTGTACTGCACAAAGTAACCTATATTAATCATTGGTTCCATTATATATATAGCATAACAGATCAGTTATTCATAGAACTATTTGGCTACATTGGAAGAGTAGTATAAGCATTATTACTTTTAGTCACACATATCCAGTTAGGCCAATATGCATGGCATGTCAAATAGCAAGTATCAGCACTAATGATTGGTTGTAATAATGCAATGTGTGAGCTATCTGAGTATAATGGCCCATAATTATTTTATTGTAGAATGTAATAAAATAGCTGCAATAGTATTGTACCTAACAAAATATTGATATTAGACTTGGTACTCACATGGTAATTGTTATTGTAGACGGTGCCGATGCCATGGATGAAATTCTGCAAATTTATGGAGGTCACAACCAACATGGCTTTCCTTTTGATGTTAACTCTGATGCCTATGAGGAACATCTACAAATGCAAGCAGGTAAAGCACTTTTAGCTGACATGGATAACAAACTTAGTAAAATTAATAAAATGTGGTTGTACATAAAGCACCACTGAAGAATAAGATTAATTAACTGAAACCATGTTTTTAATTAGAAGATACTAATATGACATCATGCGAACTACCTAGAATAATCTAAACATAACATTGGATGCATTAGTTGCAAATTATGGACTGTCAATTTGACATTTCAGCACATAAAGTAAATTGTGTCAATGTTTCTATGTCCTTCTGAAATCTAAAATCAGCCATAAGTTTACAACCATGTTGATCCATGATAATAAAATATCCACCATCTAAATTGGTACAGACGACTCACCTTGTAATTGTTGTTGTAGACATGCAGGAGTACGATGTGTATGCTGGTGATGTGGAAATTGTTTTTGAACAAGAGGAGTTGGATGATTCAGATGAGGAAGATGAACATCCAAACAAAAATCTTACCAACATACAAAGGCAAGAGATATATGATGCATTGGTTAAGAAAACTATCAATGGAAGACTAAGAAAAAAAGCAACAACTGAAGTTGCTGAAATGTTCAATATCAAAAGGGGTAGAGTGCAAGATATTTGGCGAAGAGCAAAGCAGTGCCGTGCACAGGGAATTCCAGTCAATGTAAGTTCTAGAAAGAAAACTAATTCTGGTCGCAAGAAGAATGAAATTGACTTGTCAGATGTTGCTAATGTCCCCCTGCAACTAAGGGGCACATTACGGTCATTTGCATCAGCCGCGGGTATACCAAAAAGCACGCTTCATAGGATGTTGAAAGAAGGGCTGATAAGACGTCACTCAAACACATTAAAGCCATTGTTGAAGGAAGAGAACAAACGATCAAGGCTGCAATGGTGTATTTCCATGTTAGATTGGCATACTTTGCCAAATGAACCGAAGTTTGTTGATATGCGCAACATTGTGCACATCGATGAAAAATGGTTCAATACCACTAAAAAGACAAGAACTTTTTACCTGGTCCATTGGGAGGATGATCCGTACAGACCCGTGCAAAACAAGAATTCTATTGATAAAGTGATGTTCTTGGCAGCAGTTGCTAGGCCTAGATACAATGAAGAAGGTATCTGCACTTTTGACGGCAAGATAGGCTTGTGGCCTTTCACCAAAAAGGTATTATAACCTCTTAATATATGCATTTTTACTTAGTGATGTGATGTGAAACTTAATTGCTTATCTAACTTACTTAATGTTATATACATAGGAACCAGCACAAAGGACAAGTCAAAACAGGCCAAGGGGAACTCTAGTCACCAAGACAATCAAGGTTGATCGAGACACCGTAAGGTCGTTTCTGATTGCTAAAGTACTACCAGCTATTATATCAAGTTGGCCTCGAGACGATGCACACAGCACTATATGGATTCAGCAAGACAATGCTCCTGCTCATGTGCCAGTGGATGATTATCAATTTGCCTATGCAGTATCCCAAACAGGGTTTGACATCCGCCTTATGCATCAGCCTCCTAATTCCCCAGATATGAATGCATTAGATCTTGGGTTCTTTGCATCGCTACAATCATTAACATATAGAAGGATATCTAGGAATATGGATGAGCTAATACATAATGTTGAGCAGGAATTTCAGGCCTATGATGACAACAAGCTAAATAGGGTGTTCCTAACACTACAATCTTGCTTGTTAGAGGTTATGGAAGCTGATGGTGGAAATGGATACAGAATACCTCATATGGGTAAAGAGAGGCTAGAGCGTCTGGACATTCTCCCTAATACCCTTAGTTGTGGTCGTGAACTGTATGAAAAGGTCATATCAGCATTAGCCAATCAAGTGCAGTAAATTATGCAAAATGGGAAGGTCTATCGTAGTTTCAGCTTTTGGTTAAATGTGATGTTGTATATATGATAAAGTAATATCAGTATTACTCAAGTAAATGCAACTAATCATGCAATGTGGCAAGTTCTATGATGGTTTCAGCTTTTGTAATATGTAATATGAAGTTTTATGATGGTTTCAGCTTTTGTTGGCTACATTTCAGATTGTATATATGACAATGCAGTATCAGCATTTGAGTATCATGTCATGTGGAAAGTTTTATCATGGTTTGAGCTTTTGCCTAAATTTCATCCTCCCTCCGTTCCCTTTTGATCGACGTATTGCAATCGTGCAGCGAGACCAAGGTGAAGTAAATTTCTCCCATTATCATTTAAAGCCCACCTCATAAAAGGCACAATTAGCACTTCAGTTACTTGCATGCAAAACGGAAGAGAGAGAGAGAGACCCCGTTTTTTTATTAAAACTAGTGCCTAGTATGCGAAATGAATGGCCAGCGTCTCCTTGCATGCATGCAAAAATTAAATCAGCATGCAAATCTAAGAGTCATGGCCACCGTCCTAGGCTAATGCGTTGATCAAATTGGAACATTTCAGTTTTACTTATGCGCTGATCAAAAGGGAACGAGGGAGTTTTATATATATGTCACAATGTAAAATCAACATTACATGCATCATCATAATCCCCTAATCTCATCCAGTACCACAATTACACATGCTTTCATACAATACCAAAAGGGTGCCTACTTTAACATACCTTGTTAGGTTGCTATTCATAACCACCTAATCTAAAGTACTACCACAATTACACATAATTTCATACAATACCAAAAGGGTGCCTACTTTAACATACCTTCTTAGGCTGCTATCAATAACCACCTAATCTAAAGTACTACCACAATTACACATAATTTCATACAATACCAAAAGGGTGCCTACTTTAACATACCTTCTTAGGCTGCTATCAATAACCACCTAATCTAAAGTACTACCATAATTACACATAATTTCATACAATACCAAAAGGGTACCTACTTCGAGGTACTTTGTTAGGCCACCATTCATAATCACCAAACAGGCACACAATCAACACATAATTGAAGCATTCATCTAAATTTTTTACTATTAAAACACTCTAGAAATTTTTTTACCGATTTTTCCAGTGCGTCTTGGTCTTGTAGGAGTTCTTCTAGGCCGCTATCATCGTATGGATCTTGCGCATATCCCCCAATGACCATATCAACATCATCATCGCTTGACTTGTCCTCGTCGATGCTAACATCTTTAGCTTTTCCCCTCTTCTCCTTCATGTCAGTTTGCGTGACGCTTGCCTTCTTCTCGAACATGGCCATGTGGTCGCTATCATCTCCCAACATAGTCCTGTAACGGATAAAACACAGTGACAGTTAATACAAGATGGGATGTAAAGATGAATCTATCATGGAATCAAACTGAAATGTACTTCGATTACATTATATATTCGATACATTTTTTTTAAAAAGATAGTGCTGACCCATGTAAATAAGCAATGTCTAAATTGAAGTATAGACCAAATGGACTACTGAACGCAATGAAAGCCAAAAGTAGAGTACATCAGTTTATATATGCGTGGCCTAGTTAAAGGATCAAATCCAGTGAATAATAGAAGTATAACAATCGAAAAAGATTTGCAGAAATCAAAGTATAGCATCCACGGTAATTCTCGTAGAACAACATCAAGGTTACCTAGTTAATTTAATTAGCTATGAATGACAGCCTAACTATCTGTGGGTGCAGTTGTACTATTGGAGCAAGTTGAAGCTTCTCAACGATAGGTTTCAGTGTTAAAATGAACAAGTCAAGCAAGCAACATACGCTGGCTAGGTAGCTGCAGCCAACAAAGCGAGTACGACGAGCTGCATTCAGGAGTAAGTTTCTTTACTGATATTGAAACAAGTCAGAACAAAATAATTAACCATATATACTTAGTTTTTTTAAACAAGATGATCAATCAAGCATCATGTCCTACACGTCAATAATGTTTTATATTTAAAAACAGAGGTATTAATATTCATGCATTACAGTGTCACCACAATTTTGGATTTTTCATCAGCCTCTTGATTGAGCAATAAAGCAGTCAAAAAAAACTTTGAGAAATAAAATTCGCATGTTCAGTATCAAATTTCTTACAGTTTATAATTGTTTCCTATACTCAATAAAAATTTCTAATTTCAGAATATACCTATGGGCAACAAAACAGAAAGGAATGCTTTGGTTAGGTTTAAAACTGCTTGGATTTTTGTTAACACTAATTTATTTTATTTGAAACATGTCATCATAACCCCCTTCTCACTCCATGCCAAATTTTGCAGAAAACAAAATGTAAAACCCAGCTAACCCGCATTACTTCAACATTGGTAACACTGACCGACATATAACAGCTGGATGATTATAAAGATACAAAACACCGAACAACATTAACCTAGGATATTCTATGCAGTACAATCAAAAAAATTTTGGGATGCAACCGCACCCAGTGCATCTGATCTACACACGTCATTGAAAGCATCTCTCATTGCATAAGGGGAACAGATTGGTTGTAGGGAAAACAAGGTGAAGATACCTTTGAGTCAATCCACGCATACTGCCGCCAAAGTCCCTAGCTGTTGCCACCGGAATCAGAACAGGAGGTCGGTAAGCCTCCTCCTCCGCCGACCCCTCCTGTATCAGATCCGCGTGCGCCGCCACCTCCTTGACCATCACATCTGCCGCCTTGCAAATCTCCGATGTCGCTGCCGCATCTGAACTGGCTCCACCCGCCGCCGTTGCCTCCGCCGCCTTCTTGCAAACCTCCAAGGCCGCTGCCACATCTGAGCCCCCTCCCGCCGCCGCCTTTTGGATCAAAACCGCAAGCTGATACGCCTCCTCCGCCTTGGCTTTCGTCTCTTGAATGAAAACCCTAAACTGTTCCGCCGCTGCCTCGAACTCTGCCATCGAGGCAAATCCTTCGAAAGGAGCCGCCTCCGGCATCGGATCTAACCGCTCGCAACCCTCCCCCGCTGTATCGAAGCGCCCGCATCCTGGTGGATGGGGAACTCCGCAGGGAGTTGCGGAAGTGAGGGGGAGCGGCGTGGAGCGGGGAGAGATGTGTGGGGAGGAGCACGACGGCAGTAGGGAGGGAGTCGGAAGCTTCGAAGGGTCGCTCATCTGGACGCCGCCGCTTCGACGGAATCGATCCGGGAGGGGGTGAGGGAGCGATGGAGAGAAACGCGAGAGAGAGGCGACGGGGCGATGGAATCGATCCAGGAGGAACGAGAGAGAGAGACGCGACAGAAAAAAAACTGGGAGGCGATAAGGTTTGCGTGGTGTGAACGAGAGGATACGCGGTCCACCTATGGCCCACACAGGATGAGATAGATGGGAAGTTTCTCGTTTTCTGTCCAGAAATCGGTTTTTTTCGGGACAAAGCTCTCCCCCCAGGATTCGTCTCTTTCTGGGACGGAGGGAGTAATTTTTCCTTCCACATCAGATCAAGATGACATGTACCGGCTAATCACCAGCTTATTAGCCTTGCTCTAACACCCAACCGGGTGCAGTCATTCCTGCTCATCACATGCCTACGCGGATGCAGCAAAGACATGGCGGGTTGCCATCGCACTCTAGCTCAGTGTGGGCCCTATGCGAAGTGGCCTCGAGGTCCTGGAGGAACGAGCATGAAAGTAGCCACCCTGCCCTATCCATTGTGGGCCTTTCCATGTTGCCTCGAGGATGCGGAGAAGTCAAGAAGAATTCTCTGATGATGAGATACGCCGGCCCAATCTATGAGTAATGAGTTGTTCCCTAGAGAGAGTATAACGGGAGAGCCACCACCAGGGGATAGGAGGTTGACTATTGGCTCTTTGGAGGAGAGCCTTCAACACATTTAGTTAAGTTCTTACGGAACCCCAAAGAGAAAGGATGATAAATCATTCCGAATAAGAGATAAACTAAAAAATTGGCGTGCCAATTGGCACGCCTGCCAATTAGCCCGTATAGGGCAGGTAAAATTTGTCTTCTATAGAGCATCTTTATGATACTTTAGTTGCTGTGGTAGTAGTAATGATTTTTTTTCCATTGATTTCATTCGTAATAATTACTTTAGACCTTTGATTTTTTTTTCATAATGCATTATCAACAACTATAAAGTTAATATCATATGAAAATATATTTAAATATAAATACACCTTTCGAGTTGGTAATTCTTATTGTTTTGGACAATAACATGGTCTCCAAAAAATAACTTTAACTACTAATTTTTATTACAATATAATATATATATAGAAATATCAATAAATATATGATTTTATTAAACTACTTTTAAGACTAATCCATATGTATGCTCTCCGTACTTCTAAGATAAATATTTTAAATGTTATTTATAGTTAAAGTTTTAAAAATTTGACCATAGTTTTATCCAAAACAACAAGTATTACCAATTTGAAGGGAAGGAAGTATAATGATACTACATCCAAGATTAAATTTTAGTTCAATTATTAGTCAGAGTTTTAAATATTCAATTTCGTAAAACCAAATCATATATTATCACTGAAGGATTAAACTCACTACTAGAAAACGCATTTTCCCCAACGTATGGACTTTTTTTTCGCAGGCGGACATGACTCTTATAGCTAAATGACCGCCTACAAAAAATATAAATCGGGGTGAAGTTCGATGTCCACCTGCGAAAATCTATTTTCGCAGGCGGACCACTTAAGCGGCGCCTGCGAAAATCGCAGGCGGCCTACTTAAGCGGCGCTTGTGAACCTTATGTGGTCCGACTGCAAAAATCGTACCTACCCAAAAAAAAAACCCACCCTTATCTTCTCCTCCCACCCCTCCCACCACTCAACTCTCTCTCTCTCTCCCTCTCCCTCCACTGACTCAGTCTCCTCTCCTCTCCTCTCCCTCACTGACTCTCCTCTCCCCTCATCTCTGGCGGCGCGGCGGGGCCGACGGCGACGACGCGCGGCCGGCGGCGTCTCCCCTCGCCCCTTCCCTCCCAGATCTGGCTGGAGGAGGGAGGGGGGAGGCCGGCAGGGGCGACGGCGGCGGTGGCGGCGATGCGTGCGGGGCGGCGTGGGGCGGCCAGCGGCGTCTCCCCTCGCCCCCTCCCTCCTAGATCTGGCCGGAGGAGGGAGGGGGGAGGCCGGCGGGGGCGACGGCGCGCGGGCGGTGCGGCGCGGGCCGGCCGGCGGCGTCTCCCCTCCCTCCCTCCCTCGCAGATCTGGCCGGAGGAGGGAGGGGGGAGGCCGGCAGGGGCGACGGCGGCGGCGGCGACGCGTGCGGGGCGGCGCGGGGCAGCCGGTGGCGTCTCCCCTTGCCCCCTCCCTCCTAGATCTGGCCAGAGGAGGGAGGGGGGAGGCCGCTGGGGGCTACGGCGCGGGGCGACGTGGAGCGGCGGCGGCGACGGCGCGCGGGCGGTGCGGCGCGGGCCGGCCGGCGGCGTCTCCCCTCCCTCCCTCCCTCGCAGATCTGGCCAGAGGAGGGAGGGGGGAGGCCGGCGGCGGCGACGACGACGACGGCGGCAGCGGCGGCTCCCCTCCCCTCCCCTCTCAGATCCGGCCGGGGGAGGGGGGCGGCGGCGAGTCGCGTGGCGGCGGCGGTGCGGCGATTTTTTTTTTTGTTCGTTTTTTTGCATTTTCGCAGGAGGGCCGTTGCCCCGACTGCGAAAATCATCGATTTTTACAGTCGTTGTGTTGCAGGCGAACCTCCCTCCCGTCTGCGAAAATTAGTTTTGGCCGCTTGGGAAAATTGGTTTTCTAGTAGTGACTCCTAATGTGGTTCCTTTTGGGAAGAATAGCTAATATGGTCCCTGAAGTTTCGCTTCGGGCTCAGTTTAGTCCTTGAGGTTTCAAAACGTCCAAATAAGTCCTCCAAATTAATCATTTGGGTTAACATAGTCCTTGGTCCCACAAAAATACCACATAAGCATGCCAAGTCATTCTTGCATGCAACAATACAAATGAAATGACCATTCTACCCTTACCATATAAAAAAGAAAGAAAAGGAAAAAAAAAGGAAACAACAGGAAGGAAGAAAAAAAAGGCCGGCCCATTACTCCACTGTTTGTTTTCTCCGTCTAAACCCTGATAGGGTTTGGTCGCTGGCGAACGGCGGTCGCGGCATCGCAGCGCTGCACAACGATTGCTCCTGTTCAGCCGCGTCGCCGCAGCACGGGGCAACGCCGACGTACGGCTCCAAGAAGCTTCGCCAAGCTCTGTCATGGTATGCACTGCTCTGGGGTTTTGCCAAGCGATCAGTTGGAGTGCTAGTTTGCAGAAGTCGTGGATCACACCAGTAGAGGCAAGTTCTCATTTTTCTTGTTCGATCGCATTAAATTTTTGGATATGTTTTGATTTTTCACCACTACTGTGTAGCAGATTTGTCTAGGAACGAAAGCAGATGGCAGATTCTGAGCTATTAGCTATTAAATTTTATTTCAATGGTCATTTCGTTCTTGATGGGTCAAAAGTTCAGTACATTAATGGGGATGAGGGCTTGTCACATATAGACATTGAGAAAATTTGAATCCCAGAACTTGAAGGCCATCTGTTGGATCACACAACCTTTCAACAGCCTGTTAGAATGTACTGGTTACCACCTGGTGATGCACTAAATAATGGAATGAGGCTGCTTGTAGATGATCAGTCCTGCTTGGAGATGGTGAAAATTGTTGGAACTACTGGAGCTGTGGACATTTACACTGAAATAGTTAAATTGGATATGGGTTGCAGTTCTACATTGGTAGAGGCTCATTCTGATGAAGCTGTATTTGATCTATTTCGGGATAATAATAGCATGTTTCCAGACTCTCTAGTTATTGCAAAGGGCGGTACGAACACACAATGTGATAATCCCAATAGCAGTATCGCGAACATACAAACTGAAGGCTTAGATTCAGATAGTGGTTCTGATGCCACTGGTTTTACAGAGGATGAAGATGATGAAGCAGATGAGATAAGAATTAATTATAAGCAATTCAAGAAAAAAATGAAAAGGAGAGAAGAAATTCCACTTGACACCCCAGTTGAGTTGGATCTTCCTCAAAGTGTTGATGCCAACACCATAACACAGGTAAATGACGAGGGAGATGGCATTGCATACTTTGATTCAGAGGATGATGCATCCTATGATGATGATAGTGGGGATTCTGCAGAGAGGAGGAAGTGTCGGTTTCCAATATTTGATAACCATGCTGAATTACCACAAAATGCAGTCGACATGTGCTTTAGAGGAAAGATGCAATTGAAGGATGCAATAACAAGGTATGCGTTGAAAAAGAAGGTAAATATAAAATTTATCAAAAATGACAGAGACAGACTTAGGGCTGTTTGTATGCGGAAAGGTTGTACATGGTTACTGCATGCTTCTTACAACTCAAGGAGTGATTGGTTTCAGATCGTGACATATAATGGAAATCATAGTTGCTGCCCAGATCTAAAAAACAAAAGGTTGTCTACAAGTAGAATTTGTGATAAGTACGAGAGTGTAATTAAGGCTAATCCGTCATGGAAAGCTAGAGAACTGAAAGAGACTGTACAAGAAGAGATGGGCGTGGATGTCTCAATGACAATGGTCAAGAGGGCGAAGTCAAGAGTAATAAAGAAGGTAATGGACGCCCATAGTGGTGAGTACTCAAGGTTGTTTGACTATGCTCTTGAGCTGATGCGAAGTAACCCTGGAAGTAGTGTGCATGTTGCCCTTGATCCTGATGAAAATGAGCATGTTTTTCAGCGATTTTATGTTTGTTTAGATGCTTGTCGAAGGGGATTCTTGGATGGATGTCGGAGAGTTATCGGATTTGATGGTTGTTTTCTTAAAGGTGTTGTCAAAGGAGAGTTATTGTCAGCTGTAGGAAGGGATGCTAACAATCAGATTTATCCTATAGCATGGGCTGTTGTGGAGTATGAGAATGCAAGTTCATGGAATTGGTTTCTTGGTCATCTTCAGAAAGATCTTAATATTCCTTATGGTGGTGATGGTTGGGTTTTCCTCACAGACCAACAAAAGGTATTTTGCAGCTCGTTGCTCTGTTGTAGTTCACTTGTAGTTTATGACACTTCACAGTTTACATGATTAACTTGTTGTTTCTATCTACAGGGGCTTCTAAGTGTCATTGAACATCTATTTCCAAAGGCTGAGCATAGAATGTGTGCAAGACACATTTATGCTAATTGGAGAAAAAGGCACCGTCTTCAAGAGTATCAAAAGAGATTTTGGAAGATTGCAAGGTCATCAAATGCTGTGTTGTTTAACCATTACAAAAGTAAGTTAGCTAATAAAACACCTATGGGATGGGAGGATTTAGAGAAGACCAATCCTATACATTGGTGTAGGGCTTGGTTCAAGCTTGGATCTAACTGTGATTCTGTTGAAAATAACATATGCGAGTCATTCAACAATTGGATTATAGAAGCACGATTCAAACCTATCATAACCATGCTAGAGGACATACGGATGAAGGTGACTCGAAGGATTCAAGAGAATAAGACCAACAGTGAGAGATGGACCATGGGAATTTGTCCTAATATTCTCAAAAAAATAAACAAGATAAGACATGCAACCCAATTTTGTCATGTTTTATGGAATGGTTCTTCTGGATTTGAAGTCAGGGAAAAGAAGTGGAGGTTCACTGTTGATCTCTCAGCCAATACATGCTCCTGTAGATATTGGCAAATATCTGGAATTCCTTGCCAACATGCATGTGCTGCCTACTTCAAGATGGCAGAGGAGCCAAACAACCACGTAAATATGTGCTTCTCTATCGATCAATACAGAAATACATATCAAGATGTCCTCCAGCCAGTTGAGCATGAGTCCGTGTGGCCTTTATCAACTAATCCTAGACCATTGCCTCCGAGGGTTAAAAAGATGCCTGGTAGCCCAAAGAGAGCGAGGAGAAAAGACCCTACGGAAGCTGCTGGATCGAGCACTAAATCATCGAAGAGAGGTGGTTCTGTGAAATGCGGGTTTTGCCATGAGAAGGGCCATAACTCTAGGGGGTGCAAAAAGAAAATGGTATCAATACAATTACCTTTAAATATTCCTTACTTTTCACTTGATCACACAAGATAGTAACTTTTGTTGGTATCACAGGAACACTCATCCTCACATTACCCATCACATCCAGATCAAGCTGCACCTTCTGGAGAAGCCAATGATTCCTCGGTTGCTCATAGAAGGGGAAAGACCTTGCTCTCTCAAAGCCAAGGAAGTGCCGTGCAATTGGCAATTGGAGCCACACGATCTAGGCAATCCAGGGGAAAACAACCTGCTATTTCATCTAATAGCAAGACGACTAAAAAGGGAAAAATGCCTGAAGGTTATGGATTGTACTATAGTGAAAGGACCGGTTCCACATTTCTTCAGGTTAGTAAAGCGATCATGCTAATAATTCAATCTGCTTGCATTATTCAATTATAGAGATGTACACTACTTTAATCGGGTAAACTAATTTTCTTTTTGCAGTCTGGACATAAAAAAAGATTGGTGTCTTTTCCAAGTCGAGATCAATAGCTCAAGCTTCAGCTACCTATGGCGTGGCGCATCAGACGAGCATCAACAAGATGTTGGATGGCAACAGAATTATTTGTTCTTTTTTTTAAGACGAGTCCAGGGTACCTGTGTGAACCTTTGCTTAATTATGTCATGCATGTTGGCTATAACTTTTATATTGCAATTTGAGTTGATTGGGTAAAATATAGTTGCTACTTTTACCTACTTACACGATTTTGTTATTTCTAGGATTTTGATAATTCCGTGCGGTACAGAGTTGAATTGTTCTATATTTGTTTGCGTGCACGTTTAACTACTCACAATAAATAAATAACATATATCATTAGATACAATACATGCAAAAGAAGATAAATGGTTCACACATTATAATCGGGGTTTAGATGGAGAAAACAAACAGATAGACTGAGAGAGTAATGGTCCGGCCTTTTTTTCGTTCCTCCATGTTGTTTCCTTTTTTTTTCCTTTATTTTTTTCTTTTCTTTCTTTTTTATATGGTAAGGGTAGAATGGTCATTTCATTTGTATTGTTGCATGCAAGAATGACTTGGATGCTCATGTGGCATTTTTTTTGGGTCGAAGGACTATGTTAACCCAAATAATTAATTTGAAGGACTTGTTTGGACGTTTTGAAACCTCAAGGACTAAACTGAGCCCGAAGCGAAACTTCAGTGACCATATTAGCTATTCTCCCTTCCTTTTGAAAGTGACTGTTTACCATATTATCACTGTGGATTGTTTATTTAATTAACGGGATAAATTAAAATTTAAAGAAAATCTAATTCATAAATAGATTACACATGTGGTCAAACAAATGCATTAGAAGAAAGTTGTTTTACAAAATGTATTTTCAGAAGCATGTAGCAAATAACCCGTTTCAAAAAATATGGAAAACAAATCTAACAAGAAATGGCCTAGTTAGTGCCCTACTCTCTCCACAATTTGTTATGACGAATTTGAACAAACATCTGTCCAGATTTATTCTCATAAGTTATTTTTTTCCGATATGGAGGGTGTATATGCATACTCCGTAGGTAAAGAGCAAATGAATCAATAAATGACAGTACATTGCTCGTACTGGTACCAGGCAAGTATATGTAGCTGCACCTTTCCCTCTGCGTGTAGCCGTGGATCAACAAGTGACTTTTGTTTTGGAATTTGCAACACACATGAGCCCGCAAGGCTCTTCGTAGGTGATTTTTTTTTTCTTCAGTAAATCCACTTTTATAACAACTCCACGTGGCAGAATTTTGGAGATTTTTAGCTAAATTTTTGGGCTGCCACGTGGTCCTATGACAAGGTTAATTCTTAACCTTTTCCGGCTGGAGGGAGTAGCATATTTATTCAGAATGATTCTGGCCCACTGGCCCATGTATCTTTAAGCAGAGCAATGAAATACTCTATATGCTTATCCAGCTGTAAAAGATAACTGTGTGTGTGTATATATAGCCAAGTATTGGTCCTTAACCGCAAGTTTTTAATCAAATCATGAAGCATTGTTGGATTGGTGGATCAGAAGAACATCTTAAGGTGGGAAAAACAAGGCTAAAGCACTCAAGTCAATCCACTTGTTGGTGGTATGAGAAATATGGTGTGAACGAAATAGGAGGGTGTTCCAAAATCAAGATAAGACCATACCGCAACTCCTCACCAAAATACAAGACAAAATCAAGCTATGGAGCATGTGTGGGGCAAAAAATATTGCGAGAATATCCGCTTAGATTTTCATTTCATTTAGTGTGTGTTTCTTTTCTATTTTTCTTCATGTTTCTTTTTTTCTCTCTTTCACCTCCCATGGTGATATTGTAAATACTTTCTATTCTCCTTAATATAACTCCAGCTTAGCCTGGCTACGGTTTCAAAAAAAAAATCCTGCTCATCAATATGCTGAAGTCATTTTACAGATTAATGGTCTGCGCCTCTAGCTACATAGTGTTGTTGATTGCGCTTTTGCATGAACTGCACATTTTATATTAGCTATTTTTCTAGATGATACATTTTCAGAGTCCATGGTATGTTGTATAGTATACCTTCATTTAAATTTGACGAAAGCCCTTCCTTGAATTACACACAACATTACAAGTTAATAAGCCACGCAACCACGCTTAATTAGGCTAACTATTTCTTACCAGAATACAAAACATAACAATCTCTGTCAATCATTCTTACTTAGGGCTTAGGCTCCTTCAGTTTACTTAGGCTCACACAGATTCATACTTCAGTGTTTGCAGAAGGCCACACAATTGATATTGTTAGTTACTCCCTCCGTTTCACAATGTAAGTCATTCTAGCATTTCTCACATTTATATTGATGCTAATGAATCTAGACATATATATCTATCTAGATTCATTAACATAAATATAAATGTGAAAAATGTTAGAATGACTTACATTGTGAAACGGAGAAAGTAATTATATTACTCATGTATAGATGCATAGACCGACCAGGATGGTCATCATGATACAACAAAATAATTCTCATAGCTGAAATTGCAACACATTTCCTTAGAAATTTCCGTGGTGTTTTAATCTGCAAATTATATTAATCACATTTTATCTATTTGCTATAGTAATTGGAATCATGGTTTGTAAATGTGATGGATGATTGGATGCATAGTAGAAACAACTTGTTATTTGTTCGTTCTGGGATCTGGAGGACTGGGGAGGAGCTGAGGAGCTTGTCGGTGGCAATACAACATCTACAGATTGGAAAAACATGTATATATATTAAGCTTGTAATTAAGCATATGCTAACAAACTACAATAGCTCGATCACACATGATGATCAGTCACAACTTAATCAATTGAGTCAAATATGGTGCCATTTATTAATTTCCAAGCTGTTAGCAAATTAAATGAAGTGGTGGATGCATGCATGATGCATGTACATACCAGTTTACATAATTATATTGGAGAACTCATACAGGCGTCCTCGACTGGAGAAGATGATCAGTCCGATCTCAGCATCGCAGAGTAAGGCGAGCTCGTAGGCCTTCTTCAGTAGATCGTTCCTATGCTTGCCGGATGTCACCTGACGGCTTGTCATGCTCTTGATTCTCCCTATGTCGATCAGTCGATCTCCCTTCACAAACATATACACAACCGCACCCTCCTCTATTAGCAGTTCATTACAGAAGAGCAGCCCGACGCCGCTGAAGCTTGGAGGAGATATTCATCAGCTCGCGGCAACAGGACGCCTGACAACGACGCTGTCCGTCACTGCGGCAGCTGGTTCAGTCGCCAAGCAGTCCCATGCGCCATTGTCACCACGCACATGGCGGTAAACCCTGGGGATTCATGCTCGCGTGTGCCGATCTCGTCCGTCGATAGTGGAGGGACGGCTGCGGAGAGGGTCGCGTGGGAGGAGAGGGCCTCGCCGTCATCGGAGCTAGTCACTGCTGCCCACCTCCTCCCCCCTCCCCACGCGCAGCCATCGAGCTTATTATCATCCCCATCCAGCGACGAGGAGGGGGCAGCGGCAGGCTGGATCTGCACCGCATCTGCTTAAGGAGCCCCGTCGCCGTGCTGCCACCGAGCTTGATCTAGGAGAGGGGACGTCGTCATCAGATGTCGTCGCTGCCAGTGACAACAAATTTTGAATTCTTGAGGCGTGGAAGAGAATTCTTCTCTCTATATTATCAGGTAGCATTACTAAAGTTGTGAAAGCACTGATGGTCTGATGGATACTCATCCGGGAAGCACTACCAGCAATCTGGGCTTCAGATGGAAGGATATAGATGGACGCGTGGCAGAAATTTGGAGGTGTCTAACTTAAATTTTTAGGGCGCCACGTGGCCCAATAGGAGACTTGATTCTTGACCCTATAATCGGTTATAGAGATTTGTAAGATCCTTGTAAGAAGATATAGGAATCCACACCACATAAGTAGAATACTATACCTCGGGGTGACCCGAACCTATATAGTTTTGTGGTCGTTCATTCTCCATTGGTACGCGAGGGGCACAATTATTGGTCTCAAGTGCACTTGGCTCCCCGACCGGACTCACGAAAAGGGGACCTAGTCGGATCCCCGTGATCGGGAGCTCTAGCCCACAACACATAGGCGTGTCATAGATGTTGGAATAGTCAAGTTCAAACATGTGAATATCACATTTATTTTGTCTATTGCATATTAAAATTTATAAGATATTTTTGGTTTATATATCCATAACAAAGCACGTGCATTTTTGAAAAAAATTTCTTACTCTATTGTCCAAAAAGATAGTCAAGTTCAAACATGTGAATATCACATTTATTTTGTTTATTACTTATTAAAATTTATAAGATATTTTTGTTTATATATCCATAACAGAACACATGCATTTTTGTTAGTTCTCCAAAGAGAACACAAAGGATATAAAATATTAGTTAAAACAAAACTTTTCTTACTCTTATTGTCCAAAAAGAACACAAGGATATAATACTCCCATTCTCCAAAAGGTTGAAGCAAATTTTTTTCTTACTCTATTGTCAAAAAGAACAATAAAAAGTACGAATTACCCCCCTGAACTATTGCGGTCGACCGAATTACCCCCTAAACCCGAAAATCAGACATTGTTCACCCCGAACTTTCAATACCGGACGAATTACCCCTCTCAATCCAATCCGGAGCGGTTTTATCCTACGTGGCGTACACGTGGCAATTCAGTCAGCATTTTCTTTTTTAAAAAGTTGTGGGACCCATCTGTCGTACATCCCCATCCCCTCTTCCTCTCTCTCTCTCTCTCTCACGGGGTGCGCAGGGGGGGAGGTGGGCGGCGGCGCGAGCGGTGGCGGCGGGCGCGGCTGGGTGGCGAGCGGCGGCGGCGACGCCACCTCCTCACCATAGCCGCTCCACCCCTTCCCTTCCCCTTCTTCCTCCAGGTCCGGCGGTGACGGCGCGGAGGAGCCGCCGCGGGGGCGTTGTCCTCCGTGTCGCAGCCGGCGTTCGTGCACAACGCGCGCGTGGCGGCCGCGGCGGCGTTCCTGCTCGACCTCGGGGGCCTCCTGGTGTTCGTCGTGCTGCATTGGCCATGCTTGTGCGTGCTATTGGGGGATTGATTGGTTTTGGTTTGGAACGATTCGGGCGCCATGATCCAGAGGAGGATTCAGTGAACTTCCCTCGCGGTTGTTCCGACCAAATTTTCATGGCCACATTTTTCTTTCGGTGGATGGTTTTCGTGTCATGGGGAGTTGCAGCGAATGGATGCGATGTAGCCACGCGTGATTCTTGCGAGGTCGAAGGGCAGAGTGATGGATTTAGTAAAAGAAGTGAGAGTTTTCCTATCTGATTATCTCGTCCTCCATATGTTGTGCTAATTCTGGTTAAAGTGAGTGCCGACGGTTAAAGTTCTTTTCATTCATACTTTAGCAAAGCACACCAGTAATGCAAACAGTCTTAGAGTCTTATGTGATGATACCTTCAATGCAAAAGTTATTCTGAAGACTGACAAGCCGGCGGCGAGAGGAGGAAGAAGGGGAGAGGCCGGCAGCTGGCCAAGGCGAGCTCCTCCTCGTCGTCGGTCGTCCTCCGTGGCCTCGTCGACGGCGTCGTGGGCCAGCGGCTCCACCGTCATGGACTGGGTGAGCCCTGAGACACCGTCTCACGCCGCTGCCCACTGCCCGGCCCGCGCGCCGCCGTCTGCCGCTCCCTCGTCTCGCGCCGCCGCCTCACCTCGCGCCCCCGCCTGCCCCTCCGCGCCGCGAAGGTGAGGTCGGAGCGGTCGCAGCCGCGGTCGACGGAGACCACCACCTTGGCACCGAGGTGCTTCACGAGGCGGACGGCCACGGCGTTGCCGAGAAGAAGAACGCCACGTCGGCGGCGATGAGCGTGGCCTGGTCTCTGCGGCCACCGCGGCTGGCGTCGCGCATGGCGACGAGCTCCTGCCGGTTCCCCTCCTCGTTTCGCGTCGTCGCCGCCGCACACCGCCGTGCCCGTGCGCGCCTGCGGCCACGCGAGAGAGAGATTGGGAATAGCTGAATAAGTGAAGAGTAGGTATGACATGTGGGTCCCACTTTTTTTTTAATGAAAAATACTGACTGGATTGCCACGCGGATGCAGCGTAGGACAAAACAGCTCTAGATTGAGTTGAGGGGGGTAATTCTTCTGGTACTAAAAGTTTAGGGTGATCAATATTTGGTTTTCTAGTTCAGAGAGATAATTCGGTCGACTACGATAGTTCAGGGGTATTTCGTACTTTTTTTTCAAAAGAACACAGGGATAAAATACTCCAATTCTCCAAAAAGATAAAACAAAAAAAATTCCGTTGCCGGGACTCGAACCCGGGTCTCTCGGGTGAGAGCCGAGTATCCTAACCAGCTAGACCACAACGGATTCTGATGGGGGAGCACTCATTAATTATTTGTCTGTGTATGACGTTATCAGGCGATTACAGAAACCCGCAGTGTATAGGATATAGAGGGCGCGTGTTACAAACAATTAAACGGCCTGATCTTGCTATGATTAAGATGAAGAGCAAAGATTGGCTAATGCGAATTATTATCGGAGAAAAGGTGGCTGAGCCGTGTTTGTTAATTTGACGGCTCATCTCGATCTGGGGCGGCCGTGACACTCGGAATACTGAGACGGGATTGAGAGTTTGAGATCCCCTGATAATTTTAGGGGTTAATAACAAACACAAGTAAAATGTAGATTTATTTACACACAAGTAGTATAAGATGTAGTAATCGGACGGACGTGGTAGAGGGAGACGAGAGAGAAAATGGAAGGTTCGGAAACGGGATCCCGAGGCTGACATGTGGGGCCACAGTTCCCGTCCGTTCTCGCCCGCGTGAGGTGTAAGCAGAAAGACGATCAATTCAATTCGGGTCGGTTTCGCCTCGTCTCTCTCATTCAGATCGTCTCTCTCTCTGGGGGGGCTTCAAGGAGACGACGCGACGGCGGCCAGAGAGATGAACATCCTCCCATGGCAATGGCAAGGGCAAGCGCAAGCGCCCCGAACAGCCGGCGCCGGAGGAGGAGGCGGAGGCGGAGGCGGAGCTCAACTCGATCTTGCTCCGCAAGATGGGGTGCACAAATATGTTGTCGCCGTCGCAGCTCTCGAAAATAAAGACGATGTTGCAGTCGAGGCCCGATATCTGCAAGAGGAACAGCCACCTCAAGTTCTGCTACAGCCTCCGCAACCGCAATGTGTTCGTCTCCAAAACCCACAAGCCACGGCTAGGCCCTCTCCAGTACAAGAAAGGGTAATCTCATCCCATCTCATCTCCTCCTTTTCCTTCGCAATTTCATTTCCTCGCATACAAATGTGAAATACTACAAATTTGTATCAGGGGGTTGCTATAGGATTAAGTTGATGATAGGAATCTGGATCGGGGTCCCCTTCCTCCAAACATGCCCTAATGTTTTTTCTTTTACTTTGTTCGGCCGATATAGCATTATCCATTTTACAATCAAATATACACTAAATGTTTCACTATGTTCAGTTTAACATGATGTTTTTTTTTTGAATTAGATTGGTGTAATGCAATCAAGACTTGATTACCTATAAACATGTGAATGGTCAGCAAATTGATTAAGCTCTCTGCAGTCCACATCGATATGCATGCAATGCGCAAAATCCAGTTTAGGCATTAGTTCCATTGAACATGATGTACTCTTCATTATTGGAACACCTGTAAACAAGATGTTGCATATTTAGAGCATTTTGAAAGATATTTCGTTGTTCCTGATTATAAATGGCAACCCAGGAGCATTTTTGTTGTACAAGTGTTGTTTTAGAGCTGTTGCAGTTATCAACAGCGTTTGACAATCTGGTTGGTAATCCAATTGTCTGTGCACTTGTTGACTAACGTTTGAACTGTTTTTCATTTCTTAATATAGTTGGTTTGTAGCTCAAAAAGAAAAGAAAAACTGAATCGCTCTGAATATAGTTTTCCTTATGGCAGCTATTTATCAACAATTAACTGATGACTATGCTGTCTTTGCTCTACTTCCTTGCAGGAAGGAACCTGTGTATGATGGGTCATGGCAGACCCCAACATGTGCAAAGGTTGCTCTAGAACACTATAACAGATCAAATGAGGTGTCTGCTTAAACACTTTTCATGTTTATTCTCTATATTATTTGTGCCATAGGAGTACCCACTTATGTTGGTGAATATGTTGGCAGGATGAATATGAGATGGTTAAAGCACTGGACAGTGTTTCTTCCTTCTTCAATGGTGTGTGGGTGCATGTAAATTTCCTTGCTAAACTCAAAGGGGCCACCCAATGTCCTGACCTTGTTCCCAAGTTCTTTGCTGAAGTGAAATCCGATTTTGATGGAAGGTCATGTGTCTCTTGTGTTAAGATTGACACAGGTATGTTAAGTTACAAACCACGAGATTGTTGTTGTATTGGTAACATTTCTATATGAATGATGGTCTACTTCTTTCTCTTTCTACTGCTGCATATTTCAAGTTTAGTTTGGTTCATTGTAATCATAGGTTCTGTTAAGTCATAGGTTGACCCAAAAAATAATTTGATAAGTATGCATGCAACACTTGTGAGGTTTTACTATGCTAACAAAAAAATGCGAAGCAGATAAGGCTTGTTAGTGAAAAATAAACCATCGCATCCACGTTTTGATAAAAGAAAACAAGAGATCATTTTCGCTCGTTGTTTCATCTCTAGTTTGACAGTATTAGTTTTTGGACTCAAATATTATTATCATATTCTGATTGGTGCAAATCATTCACATAAATTAAGTTCTAATTCTGACTTATTTCTTGCAGGTAATCCAGAGGCAACACCAATTCGCGGTTGTGGGATTTGCCAAAATAATGAGATCTACCATCCTGCTGTTGGAGGGCACCGAGGAGACAGGAAGAGTGCATCATAATGTACGAAGGGATGTAAGCGGGCCGACCGGATAATCTACTTATATGTTAAATAAGTGGCTAATCCGCAGGTTTCCGCATCATAGCCCGATTTACCACACCTAGAAATGTAAGTGGGTCAATTCATAAACCCATCCATAGGTTAAATTAGTAGGTAATCCGCGTGTCAATCCGCGGCCTGAGTTACCCACTAATTTTGCCTATAAACGGCTTCACGGGTTAGCTCGCTTGTATCCCTTTAGGCTTTAACCATAGTTCTTTTAGACAGAAGACAGCTGCCCAGCTTTGGATTGCAAGCATAACAGTTGGTACAGAGCTTCTTTTTTCCCCATTAACTACAAGATTACAGATTAGGGCGAACTCCGATTGAGTTGTGTATATACAGTGATCAATACAATACTCTGATGAAGATGAACTTCATTAATTCACAAACATCAGAATTTACAGAAAATAATCAATTCAACTCTCTTCTCATTAATTACAGATCGATCGAGAAGAGAAGCAATGCATATGCATAACCTGCTGCAATTCGATCGGAAAAAAAATCACTCCGAATCTTTGATGAAGATGAATTTCATTTTTAGTTCACAAAAGGGCGTGATATCACACTTTACAGAAAGAATCAGTTCAACTCTTCTCATTAATTACAGGTCAATCGATCGTATCTTCACGCATCTCAGTTGCAAGGCACGGATCAAACAAACACCTAATTGATTGATCCATGCATGTCTAACTAAACCCGCTCTTCGATGAAAAACACTACATTACTGAGTGCTAGAGCCGCTCACTATGGATCAATCAAACTCATGGCAGTTAGGTTTATCCGGGCACTAAAAATTTTTCTACACCGGCCGCTGATTTCAGTACATTTTTGGTTCCTTCTCTGAAAGTTTAGCATTTTTCTCTGATGATGAAACGTAACTACCATGCGTTGCATGAGGCAAACAACGATGTTTCCAACAGCCGGAGCTGGAGTTGGGACGTCGTCAGTTTCAGAGGGGTTCAGAGATTGAAACTCCGAACAATCTCTATACAGGAAAAATCATTTTTTTAAAAATCTTGTTCCTTCTCTGAAATTAATTTCAGGATTTTTCTGGTTATGAAGAGTGAACATAAGTAGCACGTGCGTTGCATGTGAGGCGGCAAACATGTTTGAAGCCGGAGCTGGAGAGTGGAGACCATTCAGTTCCAGAGAGGGTTCGGAGATTAAAACTCCCAACCCCTTTGATCCTTCCTTTTTCAGGCTATCTTCTTCTTCTTCAGGTTTAGGACATAGATCGTCCCATTTAGATCGGATAACAACCATTTAGATATGCATGCAATGCACAAAATCCAGTTTACACATTCAAGGTCAGTGGCAGTTAGTTCCAGGAACACGATGTATCATGTATGCATTTTTGGAACACCTGTAAACAAGATGTTGCATAATTAGAGCCTCTTGAAAGATATTCCGTTGCTCCTCATTATAAATGGCAACCCAAGAGCATTTTCTTGTGCAAGCCATCCACTACATTTACTTCTCAAAGTTCTCACTAATCTATCCAAGTACAATTGATACAATTCCATCAATACTGGAATTCTTTTATCCATAATCTCTTACCTACTACTATATGCATGTCAGCATGTGTCTTCTGTTTGCACCCATGAATAGCAATCTTTGATATACTTTCATCAAACATTCATTTTTGCACAATATAATATCCATGGGGCAAAGTATGACACAATCAAGCAATAACCGTTGTCTCAGAAGCAGTGGAAGCAAGAACAACATCAGATTCAGACCAACCGTCCCATATCTCGGGCAATGCTTCCTTGATGTTATGAATGCTTTCAAGAGCGTGATCAGCACCTGGAACCAGCGTTGGCCTCCCAACCTGCAGCAAATTCGTAATATTTTATTTTAACACGATTACACGAACAAAGAAAGGTAGGAGTTTTCAGGTTTTGAACTGTTTATGCAGTCTTACAATCACAGTGTGAAAGCCTGCAGCTTTTCCTGACGCTATGTTTCGAACGCTGTCATCAAAGAAGATCTGAAAATACAAGTTCAAGAAGTCAGATTTCCGCCGCTTGATACGGAAGATTTTGGGCCATGTAACTTAAGAAAAGATTCTCACTGTTTTCTCAGGATCAACATTCGCAATCCGAATCGCAGCTTCCATGGCTTCAATAGAGGGTTTGCAGAGAATTGGTGATTTAGGTCTGAAGCCATCAGATTCATCCAGGTCATCCAAATCAGAAGATAGTTCATCAGAGATAGAACTTAGGGGCTTGTGTAGACCATGGCATGTTGGGGTTGGTGGATTCAGTGTCTCGAAGCATATTATGCCTTCGAAGCAGTCCTGTATACCCACCCTGCACAGAACCTCCTCTGCATGAGCTTTATCAGAGTTTGTGAATATCTGCAGCAAGCAAATCAAAGATTATAAAAAACCTGCCAGCAAGGATCTTCCAAAAGGCAAAACTATAGGGAAGTATCATACTATTTTTCTCTGTGGAATAGAAAGTAGAAGGGTCCTCAAAACAGGGTCGAAATGCAGATTGTCATATGGCAGTGTACCATGGACATTTGCATGAAATTCATCGTTATCAAACTCGTAACCTAATGCCTGCAGTAACAGTTGCATGATTAGAAAAGAATAAAAAGGCAAAAATAATATTGGCAAAATCAAGTTTTTTTTTTCTTTATGCAAAATCAGAGAGGTTTACCTTAAGACCAGCCATCGTGGTGCCATATTCCTTGTACAGTTCCAGGCACATATCTGCAATTTGGCTTTCTTCAATTCGCAGATGGCGACGCATGTAATCTGGCAGTCAAAATTACCAAATTGCAGTCTCTCCCAACATTTGTGAGAATAAAAGTGCTTTATAAACAGGAAGATACGGAACATGATTAGTATTACTACACACCTTGTATATTTTTGCGACAAGCTAGATTGATGCCAGAGCTGAAGGGGTACAGGGTATCATCCAAATCTGAAGATGCCATAGCAAACAGATTCATTGGACTGTGCAGTTATATTGAACAAACAGTGTCCTCTGGTTTTATAAGGAATGGAATTGTGGAACATACCAAACAGCAAGCACTCATACTTCGATCCTTCAACTATAGCCTCCATTCTTGATGATCAAAGCTGAAAGGGTGATTTCTAAATGAAATCACACCAATTTGAGAGCCTGAAATTACATGAGGAACTTATAGAATGACAATATGATCTCAAGAGCAAAAATTGGAAGGGACTCTGCAACATGCCTGGTAAAACAAGTAACACGGATTTCAAGTACAGAACCAATCAAACTGAAGCTGCCAGACCTGAACTTCAGCGATTCACAGTCATGTTATATTGTTTCCAGGGGCATATAATCGTTTTTTTTTCCCCGAGAAACTCGGGAGGCTGTGGTAGGAAATATATTTACAGGGCTGAGCTTTTGGCAGGACACTCTTGGCCTTGAGTCCTGACAACCCCAGCAAAATATTTTTGTGGTTAGAATTTGGTGTGAGCATCTGATATAGACGATGTAAATCAAATCCACCATTGTTTCTACCGAGAGGGCATATTCTGACATTAGCTAAGTTTAAGTGTACTTTTAAACTTCAATCAAGTATCATCATCACAAAACTGTCCAAGATAGAAACAATAATAGGACAAAACGTCCTCTGCAAAAACAAAAAGGGACAATAATACCAAAATAAAGCCAAACAATGGAGAGCACAACGAGAGAGTTGCTCACCTCAAAACAATGAAGGCTTGAAGGCTCCTGATGAATGGTGTTGAAGCTAGCACTCTACTTATAGCATTCCAACTCCCCAAGGCTCCACGTACAGAAGAGATGCCCAGCTGCATTTGAAGGCATGACATGATTACATGAAGAACAGGATATCCAGCCAATTTGTTGCCCGTCACTGTAGCTGTACATCAAGGCAAGGATGCCTCTTAACAAGAGAACAGATCTAGTGTTCAACTTTGAAGGCTGGCATATGCTCCCAACTCCCAAGTAAGATCTGCATGCCAGGTTCCTACAAAGTGGCAGGGGAATATATGGCAACAATTGAAAGAATCAAAGAATACAGAGTACATCATCTGTTTTGAATACCGTGGAATTTTGCGTAGATGAAGAATATTGGAGCACTTTGAATACCGTGGAAATTTGCGTAGATGAAGAATATTGGAGCACTTTGGTAGCAGTTGGATGTACCATTCGTCTATTCCAAGTGCTGTTGTTTATCCAGCAGCCTCTGTTGAAGTCATAAAGGATGAGAAAGAATAAGAATATAAAATGGATATATTGCGAATCAGAATTCAGAAGCTTCCAAGTCTCCAACGGTCCAACTTCGAATACCTCCACTTCACATAGTTTGTGCAGTTCGATCAAATGGGACAACCAACAATACAGGAATGTTCCAGGTTTCTTGTGCTAAGGATACTTTTCTATTTTGAATATTATTGCCATTTGATGCTAATATACAGCATTTATGCTCCAGGGAAAGATCAAAGCAATTCAGTACTCCCTCCGTCCCAAAGTATAAGGGATTTTGGGCGGACGTCCAGATTCGTAGTACTAGGATGTGTCACATCCACCCAAAATCCCTTATACTTTGGGACGGAGTACTTAATAACTGAGAGAAACTTAAAGATTAATACAGATCATGCTAAGGCTATCACAATTCAAGTATGTGATGGAGAGGGGTACATGCACATCCTAGAGAAGACACCAGGAAAGTTAAGCAGCCTCAACCAGTTTCCTGCTCGTTCTGGCACCTTGACAAAATTTCAGATTATAGCCAAAAGGTGATCAAATTCTTCATGGTCACCGTTCAACACTCAAGCGAGAACCAGTGCTAAATGTGAGAAAGCTCAAGCATTCAACTTGATTTTACAAGGCAAAAGGCTGAACTACAATAATAGCATAGGCTCAACGCATTTCAAGAAATCACTAATTCTTCATGAAGCTGTAGATGGTGTCAGTCAAAGCTTCAGCCAACCAACTCATGGAAATAGAGCAGCTCCAGATTCAGATGGAAGCATATGTAGATATTCTGAGAAATCCTGATCGCCTGCCCAGCATGAACGCTTTTGAATTGTCATGTATGAAGTTCAAGCTTGAGCTCTTGCACACTTGTAGAGGTGACCTAGCCTTCATGACTTGCCCTGGACCACCCAGGATACATTTGGGTTCCTGTTATCCAAGACAATTGATGGACTAGGTAAGGATCCATGTTACACTAATCCTACTTTTTCCATATGTTACACAAAATGTATCCCGACATGGTAAGATGGCAGAAGAAAGAACAACAAAGAAAGAACAAAGAACACGAGCACGTATCAATAGAACAGTAGGAGCGAAAAGATGATAATCAACTATATATGAGGTTACAATTGGACGAATTGCAGTGGTATGTAGCATCCGTTAACTCAACGAAAAATTAAACCCATGTTGCTATGAAGAAATATACTTTAAGGGTAAAAAAAGAATCCATGTAAAAAAAGTAAAATAGAAAACAACACTACCCTGGCCTTCTGGAGCTACAAACGGCTATCAGAATTCAAATCATGGAACAGCAGATATATTTCAGCCCAGATAGAGAAAATACACACCACAATTAACTGAAACCTAAAGAACAGTAAGTTATGCAATAATGCGATAGAACCAATTTTCAGAGAGCTAGGGTGTAGGCTGGATATCATGATTGCATGTGTAGCCCGTGCAATATGTTAGTGAGCCAAAGTAAATAAGAGAGATGAAACAATAAGTAGCTCTGTACCTTCCCTGCAGTTGATGTAGATCCTGTTAAGTTCGCTACTGGTGCCAAAAGCTTCCCTCTGAAACAATTAAAAAACACCACTTCAGAACTGCATGGATATTTCTCCACAAGATAACATGTTAACTGTTGTTGCTTACCGCCCAAGGGAAAATTTATCATTAGCAGCCTTTATCTTTTCTACAGACTGGTGAATGAATATAAGGGAAAGGGTCAATTGTTTCACAATAATATGCATAAGGGGAATTATTAATATATAAGTGAAATAAAAGATGCACTCATGCCTTTACTACTCGATCAGGACTGAAATTATTTTCGGCTGCCAAAAAGTTTATAAGGCCCTGGACAAAGAAAACAAGAACTGTCAGCATGATAAACAACAGGGGCCGTGTGGTATGGGCAACTACCAAGCATAACCTCCTCATCTGGTGGGGTCCACAGGAAGTCTGGAATATCTGTACAAACGTTAGGTTCCTTAAACAATGCCCGAACTTCCTGGTAAGGCCAGTCTTCTGGGACACTATACCTACAGATCAAGAAAGTATACGGTACCTCTCAAAAAAAAAATGAAGCATATGGTAAAACCTAGAAACTAAGATTACTCAGAAAATGGAACAACAAACTAAAGAAATGCCAGTTGAACCAGGTCATCAATTTAACATAAATCCCATGGAAAACATACCTTGTCTGGCTAAGATTTTGCACTACTTCTTCTATATAACCATGCTGACGAATAAGTTTCAAAGCTCTCTGTCCCCCAATACCTATTCAAAACAAGACAAGAAGTAATAATAAAATGCAAGGACTTGTATAAATTTATGATAAAGATAGTCAAGGAAGGATGCAGCATACACAACATTCAATTCTCCAGCATTATGATATCTCTACAATCTTCTTAGAACTTTGAGTGGCATTTATTCAAGATTTAGCCAACAGAAGCACAAAGCGTTGAGCTATAAAAGCAATTGCAGAAAATATAATTTGAAGTTTTTAACTCAAGAATAGGATATCACACTTCCACATTTCTATTATAGATACATTAGCAATGGAGAATGCTATGTCTAAAGCACCCATGACATGAGAAAGTAATGAAGCAACCTCTAAATTCTGAATACAGCATGGTAATATGATATCATTGGTAGAATCTAATATTAAGTGTGTGAAAAAAGAAAAAACGTGATAAAACCTCTAATATTCTCGCAGTAGTCACAGCCACTAAGGATACACAAATCAATGAACTGATCCATTGTGAGTCCAAGTTCCTCCAAAACCTGGAAGCCAACAAATAATTGCCATGATGCTCGGAAAAATGTTGATGATGAAATTTACTAAAGCATTACCTTTGACACTTCGAATTCTGTTACAGGAGATCTCTTAAAACTCAGGTCGGTTAAATGGCGAAGAAACCTTCTAGCACCAAAAGTTAGAGAGTCCATATCCTCCGAAGCTATAGCAAAGACCTGACAGTCACAACTCAGAGTAAAATATAATTCGGTCATGTGACGAGGGCATCGACATAAATTTGTAATAAAATCATCGGCTTGTTAGACCTTGTGATTTTCACAGAGTGCTGCGCACTGTGCTTCTGCCTCCCCTGGTGCCTGCATATGTGATACCATGAATTGATTAGAAATAACAGTGAAAACTCATTAAAGCCAAGTATCATGCTTGCATCTTTGCCCTGAGATCATAGGTATGGCATGTTGCTCAAATGGAGCAAAAAGAAATAGAATTATGTCCCACGTGTGGTGATGTCTATAACATAAGAACCAATTGTTGATTGCTAAAGTTCCACCAATCTAATACTGCATGTATACCAAAGCCGGGTTATCCTAGCTAGCGCTCAAGCATAACAGCAAGTCCAACTTAGGCCAATACCAAACAAACATCTACACATGCAAAAGCTGAGCAGGCCTTAACATCTAGAATTCTCATAAGCTGGACTTCTTACGTAGTTTACTGTTGCCTGAAGCCATTGCAATAGAACCCTATGTAAGATAATCTAAGCTTTATGACATGTTGACCCATAAGTTTAAGACCACCGGATCACAAGCAGCAACTCTATGAGTGAGGCTGGTGCAATTTCCTTCTTTTGGTTATAAGAATTTCCAAATGGTCTGCTAACTCTCCAGGGAGTTGGGAAAGCATATCAAAGAGGAAAGTTGATTGTCTCGTCTGATCATCTTGTGGTAAAACGAAGACTAGGAAGAAACTGATGGATTAAGCACGAATTGTACCTGAACTACAGGGACACCCATCAAGCTTAACAGCCTCTTACAGTCTTCATTGTGCTTTTTTGTGACCTGTGAAGAAAAAAAAGGTGATTAATGCTTTGGACAACAGCAGGATTTTATAGACGATCTAATTGAGTTGTGAAGACAAATCTCGAAATGGCAGATTTTGTGATGCTGCTTTATAAAAAATCCATTAACATATTACTCCCTCCGTTTCACAATGTAAGTCATTCTAGCATTTCCCATATTCATATTAATGTTAATGTATCTAGACATATATATCTATCTAAATTCATTAACATCAATATGAATGTGAAAAATGCTAAAATGACTTACATTGTGAAACGGAGGAAGTATTTCCTAAAGTTACTGTAAAAACTTTTGATTGGCTCACTTCCCCCAAACGTAGGTAATTACCTTTACAGTCCTTTTGCTAAATTTTTCAATTAAATCCTCATCTCCAACCTGTAACATAAATGCTGCCTCAGAGGTGCAATGCAATAACAGATAAATCACCCCAAAAGTAAAAAGGTACAATAAGAAGGAGGCAATAGTACTACGGTTAGGATCAGATGACCTCAATAGCTCTATTTAGATCTTCGGAAGAACCATCTCTCTTCAAAGACCTAAAGAGTGGTAAACATAGGAAATAAAAATACTGACACTCACAAGAAACAATCAAAGCAAAGGCACTATTCAGAGTATACCTTTTTGCCAGTTCCTTTTTCTTCATGTCAGGTGGCTCACCATCAAACACAAAACTGGTATGAAATTTTAGCATTTAGTTCCTGTCAACAACAGTACTTCCTCCGTTTCACAATGTAAGACTTTCTAGCATTTGCCTACATTCATTTAGGTGTTAATGAATCTAGACATATGCATGTGTTTAGATTCATTAACATCTATATGTATGTGGGCAATGCTAGAAAGTCTTACATTGTGAAACGGAGGGAGTAGCTAGCAATAAACAGGGAATACAGGATGCATCAAAACTTACACAGGTTTTATTCCTGCTTCTAGAATCCTAACAGTTCGGTTCAACATGCCCTGCAGATGACTACAATTCACATGCATGTAAAATTCTTTTATCTAAAAGAAGTCATAACCACATGAGTTCACCAGCAGGGTACAGTGTACTTTCCCTCACCTTGTGACTTCACCAGCCTCATTGGTCAGAACTTCTGTTCCTTTCCTTCCTACCACAATCTACAGAAATGTCATATACACAGAACATCTGAATCCCCTTACCCCCAAAACAATCCATCAATAAGCTTTTTTCCCAGCATAAAATAATATCACTAGTTAGATGGCGAGCGCTACCAAGTGGTTTCCCAGTCAATCAGAACAGGGTATCAATGCAAAGGGTATTGGTGGCAGTGAATTCACATCATTAGCCATGTCCTTTTTGTCTACAATTCTACATATAAGTTTGCTACTATCTTACACCGTAGAAATTGAGGCTCCGCTCATGGCATTAAGCCACTGACTTCCTATACATAGAAGCTACTGGTGATACGAAGTGTTTGCACAATTGCATTTGTTCAAACTTTTAATGCGAATTAAAACCCAACTCCAACTGACTGCACAATCGCCACCATTCGCCACTGTTTGCATTTGCTCAAACTTTTAATGTGAATTAGAAGTTAAAACCCAACTCCAACTGACTGTAGATCGCCACCACTTAACCACGGAGGCAGGTATCACTAAATTTTCCCCGAATCAAGGCATTCCCAAAACAAGATAACACGATTGCTACAATCATACTCACAACTGAAGCGGAAGGGAGTAGAGTAGATAAGAGAGGGAGGGACGCCGCCACGGCCGGGGAAACTCACGAGGAACTGGTAGATGCTGAGGCTGGTGTCTATGGCGACGACGCGGCCGCGGTAATCCTCCACCCGCCTCCTCACCGCCGCCCCCGGCGCGTGCTCCGCCAGCAGCTTCGTCAAACCCTATCGCGAACACGCGCGCAGGCAGAGGAGAGTCAGCGAGAGTGACGTCACATCGAGCGCTTCGGTGATAAGAGCGTGCTATATATGCATATACCTTGATGCCCATGGCGACGGCCGGCGGCGGCGGAGATGACCAAGCGCGGCGGCGCGGCGCGGCGCGGCGAGCAGCCTCCGCTCCCTCGCTTCGGGCCACGCGACGCGGGGACGAAGTGGATAGCGATAGACTTCGGAATGGGCTATAGTACCTAACTTGGGCCTTTTCCGTGCAATGCTATAAATGGGCCTCCACCTTCCGCTTCTGCAAATGGCCATAATTACTTTTAGTTGGCCCATTGAATTAACGAATAAGTCCACTTTGATTCCCTTAATATAGGTCTACACTGATTCGTATCGATAACGGATATGTTGATCCCAACTATTTAAATTGGTATAATTTGAATTTCTTGATGGGACGGTTTTGAGAGCGATTTTTACTAAGGCGGCACGTTGACTTAGTCCAACCGAGCTAACATGTGGGTCCCACCTAAATCCTAACTTCTCCCTTTTTTCCCCTTAAAAAATAATATTCCCTCCATTCCATAAATAAAATTACTCCTCCATTTGTTCCTAAATAAGTTTATTTTTAAGTAATCATTGTATTAGAATTTTAAAATATATGAAATAATTGTATTGTGAATAGATAAAGTAGAGAATAATTGCATTGAGATTTAATAAAGTGGGTTTTTTTTTGTTTTGTATTGGCATATGTAGTGTGGATGAAAAATAAAATTATTTTGAAACGAAGGGAGTACATTGTACTAACGTTTTCCCCCCTTATCTTTTTTTATTCTAGCATCTCTTTCGAGCCGAAAGCAACTTCAGTTTTAAACAGAGCATAGCACCGTTTCAAGTTAGTATAATATACCATTATTAACGTGCAAAACATGGCCGTCGAAAGTAATGTTAGTAATGTTAAAAGAGTTAAATAACATATATTTTCTGCCAAGTGTAGAATGCAGAATCGTCGAAAGAAAAAGGAGTAGGTAAAAAGAGAGGGATTGTGCTCCTTTTTTTTCATCAAAAGACATGATAAAGAGGGAGCATCCAATGGCAGATGTGTCGGATAGTATAATCTAAGTTTGGTGGTAAGTGCGAAACAAATCAAACCAGAACAATACACACGAATCACGTTTAGAGCGTCTATTTTAATTTAAGATAGCTTACCCATTAAACTAATTTACATCCAACTCGAACTAGCATTCCCTTCATTTTCAAATAACCGACAATGTTAACTATTATCATGGTTTCACGTTTTACAACGAATTAAGATAGACTATGATAAACAAAAATATTTGTAATGTTTTTCAGAAAATACAAAAGTGGTGAATTTGAAAGAGGGACAGCGTATGATTGATATCAGTTAATTTCCCCATCATAAAATAAGTTGATTCATAGAGTTCCAAATATATCCTAAAATAAATTTGTTCTTACCTCTTAACTATCGTCTATAAAAAATCAAGAAGTTATATCTCCTCAATACCATTACACATTACATAGTCACTATTAGAGAGGTGCACTATAGTTTATGAGAAAATGCAATAAATATCATTGGCAAGGCGCACAATTCTAAGAAATATAAAAAACAAGTGTAAGTTCCATAAAATGTTATCGTACAATTGACTTTATCCCATAAATACTATCATTGTTAAGGTTTAAATGTTATAGGATGAACAACGTATTTAACAGGACAGGCTGGACAAAACCCTAACAACGATAACATTTATGAAACAAATTAGTTTGTACGATGATATTTTACAGAATTTACACCCATTGATGACAGTTTTTAGGCTCGTACATTTGTCAATTACATTATTTGGATTTTCTCTAGTTTTTTTTTCCTTTGCACCTAAAGTTTACACGGAATATTTTTGAGCTACTAGTAACAAATGGGCCCTTGGACACCATGTGCTTAGCCCACAGGCCGTGCCACGGTGGACAAAGACATCTGGTGGGGCCCCCCTAATTCTGTTGACAAGGCGCCCCTTCGTTGCGTCATCCGCCATCCGCGCTTTCCCTTTCGCTTTTCCGTCCACACGAGGTCGGCCTCGCGCAGGCCCATGGGCTGGCCCACCCGTCAGTGTCCCCTCCCAGGCCCTATATGTACAGCCAGCACGGGAGACAAGGCCACCCAAGCCCATCCATCCCTGCAAGCGACGAACACATCTCATCACACCCGTCACCTCTCCTCTCCCCCAAATCTCGCGCTCCGCTCCTGCTCCTGCTCCTGCCATGGAGGAGGCTCAGGGTACGCTATGACGTCAATGATACGGGCACACCAGTGGTTGCTTGCTGCGGCGCTTGGGGGGCGGGAACTGTTGGATTTTGTTTCCTGCTTTGTGTCTTGATGATTTGGTCTAGAAAAGGGGGGCGTGAGTGAGATGAGATCCAACAAGTTTGGAGTTCTTTGAGGATTTGGGGCCGAGAGATTTGCTATCTACCTGTTAGGAGTATTGTTAGGAGTAGGATGGATTTTCGATTCTGTGTTTGGTGAATTAACCGACTGCTGCAATTGGGATAGGAAGAGATTGCTCATTTCTGCCTCATGGGTAGGCTGCGATGGACTTTCTTAGGCTTAGTTTTATGTGTGATTGCGGTAAGAGGGGTAGGATTTAAGAGTTTTGAGTTGCTCTGGGTGATTGCAAGACAAACGGAGTGTTCCATGTTGGCTGATGCTGATGGTGACTTGGTGTTGAACCATGCTATTTATTTCCTTTCTCATGCACAGGAGTATAGATCATGCACTTCATGTCTTCCAAATTTGTCATACTATAGTTGTTATGCCGCTTCTGGCATGCTACTTACTTTGCTTCCTTCCTGGAACTCATTCAGAAGAAATCCATGGTTTCAATTAAACCAAAACAGGATTCTGCATTTGTCAGAATTAGGAACTGTGGTGGTTTCTGCGACATGATGCAATTTGGGGACTATAGATATGTGGCTTTGGTCATCATAGATAGGTCTTACATGGGGGCATGGGACTATGGCCATGGAAGTAAATCTTGTTCTGTTGTCAGCTATTTACCATAGTTGTGAATGGCCTGCATGTTGATTTCTTCAGTCCTCCAGCCTAAAATTCTTTAATATAATCACTTCTTGTTGGGAGGAGCTGAAACAATCATTTCCAAGCAGTCAAATGAATTATTTTCTTCATTTTTAACAGTTGTGGAATCCAAGGACGGAACGATCTCAGTTGCTTCAGCATTTGCTGGTCATCAGGAAGGTATTATTACCAGATTTGATCTTATGGACATGATTGACCAATGAATATTATATATGTCCAACATCTGTTATTTTCTGCTGATTGGAGGACTGTTAAACACTCACTTATTTAATCTTTGATGCATTAAACAGCCGTACAAGACAGGGATCACAAATTTTTGTCTAAAGCAGTTGAAGAAGCTTACCAAGGAGTAGATTGTGGCCATGGAGGTCCATTTGGTGCAGTTGTTGTCCGTAATGATGAGATAGTAGTTAGTTGCCATAACATGGTTTTGGATTACACTGATCCAACTGCGCATGCTGAAGTAACTGCAATAAGAGAGGTAACTTGCCCTGTGTACTGTGGCTACCAGCTACATGGTGTTTACTCTTTACATTTCGTTGATACTTAGCATTCTTTAGTAGTGGCCTCATCTCTGCTGATTAAATGTGCCTGATTCACGCTCTAACTTAAAACTAGAATGCAAATATACTGGACAGCCAAATAGATTCACCTTTTCATTTTGATATTAGTGCCGCAGCTTGAAAAATATACTAGATGTTATCTTCACAAGTTACAACAGCTAGGATGGTGTATGCTTGTCCTTTTCCTTTCATCCTTTGTATCAGAACATCAGAGGTACTCAATTCTAACTATAGAAAAGTGCTGTAAATAGCTATGTTTTGGCAGGTGGTAACTTAAAATACAGAGATCTTATTGGCCTAAAAATTGTTTAGATTCCAGTAAAACAAGGTCATGAGTGAATACAGAAATTCCTAGTTTTTGTTTTGCACTCTCAGAATTTCTTTGGCTGATGGTGTAAATGGAGTAGATAATTTCAAGCTGGCGGATAAAACAACAGAAATGCTTTAAAAAATAAAACAAGCTCTTATTTATTAGGAACAATTCACTGAGACACTGATTGGCAGCAGTATGACTATTGTATTCTTTGCCAGCCAATTTGGGCCGATAATGCATTTAACATTAGTTTCTTTCCATTGTTTGGTTATCTTTTCACATAATAAATGTTTTTCTGTGCTATAGGCTTGCAAAAAGCTTGGAAAAATTGAGTTGTCAGACTGTGAAATGTATGCATCATGTGAACCTTGCCCAATGTGTTTCGGCGCTGTGCATCTATCACGGATTAAGGTTAGTTCCTTACCTTATTATGGTTCACCTGGAAGAATGTAGCTTTTGCTTAATTAACAATATTTTTCAATGCTGCAATGCAGAGGCTGGTGTATGGAGCCAAGGCAGAAGCTGCTATTGCCATTGGATTCGATGACTTCATTGCTGATGCTTTGAGGGGAACTGCTTACTACCAGAAGGCCAACTTGGAGATAAGGCGGGCAGATGGCAATGGAGCCCTGATTGCTGAACAAGTCTTCGAGAACACTAAGGAGAAGTTTCGGATGTACTAATTGTAAGTAAATACATTGTGGGATTTCACATCGCAAAAGTTCCAAACGTTCAGAAGTCAGAAAGAATAATGTAACCTTCGGCATTCTGCCATTAGTGGACCATAAGCTATCAATTTAAATATATGTTACTCTCATTATGAGGAAAGAAAATTGTTCTATCTCATTTTCTTGTTTAATGTCCAATCGGTTATTGATTGGGGAAAAAAATTGCTCATTTGGCCCCAAAGTTTGGAGTGCCTACGCAGAATTGACCCCAAAATTTGTTGCCCGGGGTAATATATTGCTGGTGAACGAGGCTTCCTTCCTTGGACCTCAGGAGCTATCACCATTTTTCATTTTGTTTTCACGCTCCTGAAACTGACTGCTCTCTTCATCTTTAAATAAAAGAATGATTAAAACTGACTCTTCTCTTCATCTTTTTTTTTAAAAAAAAATAAAGAGAGAATGAATTAGACATCCTGCCTCTTGTTGCTACTCATTTTGTTTTCACGCTCCTGAAACTGACTGCTCTCTTCATCTTTAAATAAAAGAATGATTAAAACTGACTCTTCTCTCTTGTTGCTACTCAACTTACAAGTTACAATTTTGATGACCCTATCCACAAAACTGGACATATTGGAAGGAGGATCATACTGTTTTCTTCCCAACAAAAGGCTATGGAACAGATACATCACAAATCAAAGATGGTGACAAAAACATGCATGGTACACCAACATTCATCTCCCACAACTATATACAAGAAGCAAACATCGTGCTAATAAAAAAAAAACAATCGCAAGAATCAGATGTACATGACGCATCCCACGAAGCAAAAGCCCCTCTGCAGCAAATAAATAGAGCATCTCTCTACCTACTCTACAGCATCGCCAACTTCAGTAAAGGATTTAGCAATCTGCTGGCACTCGACAATCTATGTCTGGCTGCCTGTGCATGTATTGCTGAAGAACTTCCACCATCATAGCAAATTGGTGTCTGTCCACAATCTGTTCTGAGTTGCTCACATGACTCTGGGATCACAGAGTTTGAATAACCTTCGATAAGCGAACAATTCCAGGGATGCATAGACTGTACACTGAGGGAAACATTGGACAGGCAAATGCTGCTGAAGTTGTCCCCCTCAATTCCTTCCAAGATGCCAGCGACACCAACATTGACGCCGACCACATTTTCGATTGTAATATTGCTTATCATTGGGAGAGCATTTCTATCATATTTGTCATCAGGATGTTCACCAAAGTTTCCGGTGATCCTGATGGCCATCGAAACATTGTCCATGCTCACATCAGATATGTACACGTTCTTCACATACCCTCCACGCCCTGGAGCGGTCTTGATTCTGATCCCGTGCATTGAGTTGACGATGCGGAGACCCTCAGCCCGGACTTCGGATATGCCACCTGACATCTCACTTCCAAAGGCAATCCCTGCACCACCCCTTGTCTCTCCTGTGATGTTGCTGATACTGATGTTTGTGCTAGGACGAGCAAAGGAAATGCCATACTCATCCCACCCACTTTTTATGACAATAACATCATCTCCATTTCTGACATAACAATGATCAATGCAGACATTTGTGGACGAATCTGAATGGATTGAAGCTCCATTAGTACCACAGTTATAGATGCAAATATGCTAAATGGATATATAGTGTTAATACATAACTGGTGTACCGTAACCTTGGTTAAAGTTGCATCTCAAGAAAGAATATCACAAAATAAATGTATCTGTTGCATAGCAGTGTTTTTTGCCAAAGTGGTAAAGGGCTATCTTTTTTTGGTAATTTTGCATAAAACAGTAATACCTTTTCTATTGGTACCTCAAAACTCTAGCAGAGTATAAACGATCACTTCACAAAAGAACAATTTTAATCTTCTTTCAGAATTTTTTTTGGGTGAAGATTCCTTGAGAACTTCTATGTCCAGAATCTCAGCAGTAAGTGGAAGTTCTAAGGATTCTTTTTTTTTTTCAAATTTTGAAGCACAAAGCAGGGCAAATTGAAGAAAGAGCCTGTGAATGACATATTGATATTGCAGTCACTTTTTTCTTTTGCCATTTTTCTTAATGCAATGCAATGCTAAATGGGAAAAGTGAGGAAGTAAGACATTATGAACAATCAGGTTAAATTGAAGGGAGATAATGATTCAGAACTTCATATTACCTGGATCAATGCCATCAGTGTTCGGTGAATTCAGGGGCGCTAGGATTGTGACATGCTGGACAAGCACTTGGCTGTTTATTTAGCAAAAGCACTCTAGACAATAAATTTACAGTTGTGAATGAATTCTTATATTTAACAGAAAGCAAGTGGCTATTCAGACAACCAACCTGCAGTATACAGGATGGATATTCCAAAACGGTGAGTTCTTGAAGGTTAAATTGGATATAACAACATCGGTGGAGTACATCAACTCAACAAGATGTGGCCTAGTATAATTCAGTGTGTTGCTGTGGAACCAATCCCACCAAATGGCTCCCTGGCCATCAATGGTACCATTAGCGCCTGCCAAGAGTACCAGATTTTTACATACTGACAAAATAACTACAGTAACATCCCAAGAGAAATGCATGGTGCAGATATAGTACTTACTAACCAGTAATTATTACATCTGTTAGATTAGTTCCAAAAATTAGACTCTGATGTCTTTTTCCAGGGAGCTCTCTACCTCGCCCATAGGATGGAAGAGGATCAATGACTGGCCAATCGGATGAATCCTGAAAAATACATTTGGGAAATTATAACAAAAACATTCTGTATCAATTAAAGTAAATATTTAATTAATCATTTTTTCTAAACTTCAAGAAAACTGAATTTGTGCAAGTCTCTACGAAATACCATTTTAGTGTTCATATCAAGGTTCTTAGGGAACAATTGATCAACATAAGATTTGGCAATATATGATACTGTGTGCACGAGCACCATGTCATAAGCACACAAAAATATTTTGGCTGTAATTATCATGTGCAAAGTATGTGAGTTATCCTACCGGAGATCCAATTATTTCTGCATCCTTATCCAGTGACAAAGTGAGATGGCTGATAAGACTAAAACTCCCTGTCAGCCACCTTCCCGCAGGCACGAAGAGCTGTGCGCCACCCTTGTCTGCAAATGAATTGAGGTAGAAGATTGCGTTCTGGAATGCTTTGGTATTGAGAGTCACACCATCCCCAACAGCACCAAATTCAGTTATTGTGACACTGTGGGGTCGATATACGCTTGATGCCATGTCCTTGCAGTATGTACTGGATACATTGGACCATTGAGTCCCAACCATGGTTATGAAAACCAAAAGGACTCGGAGTAGCTAGCATAAATTCAAATAGAACAGTATCAGTATCCATCACATATTAGCATCAACACTAAACAGATTAAGCATGAATACTTCCATCTATGAACACAAGTGATGCAAATTGTCCAGAATTATGCATCTTTGAGAGCATAATTCTTCATAGATCTGAATAAACTTGTCTCTACTTGTGTCAGAAACACCAATCAAGCACAATTTAGGGTAGTCTCATGTATTTTTCCTATCAAAAAAAATATTTTACATGAATAAACTAGAAAGTCCAAATATTTAGCTAAACAATGTGTCCATGTATCCTCTGAAGTTGCTACATGGAAAAACAATTTTTTGGATCAAAGAAACGCAACTAATCATGACGAGTCTCAACAAAAGTGTTCACTGTTCAGCCAAGCACATGATATTATGATCCCAAAAGAACATTTCAATCAAGTGGCAGGAAAAACGCAAGCAGCATGAACATCTGGCCTCTAGTTCCTCCCAATGCCAGTGCTCAACACAACCTTAGCACAAAACAGATCAAACACGCGCCAATGCTACCCAATGCCAAACAAAATCATCATAGCACCAACACCAATCTATCCAGTGCCCATGCCACCGCAGAAGAAGCCCCCAAAATGGTGTGTTGTAATAGCCTGTAGCTAGATCACCAGCCCCAATCCCCAATCCACTACTCACTCACTAAAGAAGGAAGGAACAGAAACTGCAATGTGTGTGCTTGGATGATTGGATCCCACCAAAACCCTGCTACCACCCTCCAAACCGGCATCCATCTCCCCCAGAGAGATCAAGAAAGCTACAGTGTCAGCAGAGCACAACCTCATTATCCCAAAGCTAAAGAGGGATTGGAAGCATACAGATGCAGATCTCCTCATCTTCCCCGACGAGACGGATCTTGGTCGCTGCTGCTGCTGCTGCTGCTAAACAGGGTCAACAAAAACCACCTCTCCTTTAATGCGGCAAGCCTGGACACACTGCAAGAACAGCTACCAGCCAAGCTCGTCAGAAAAAAAGAAAAAGAAAAGAAAGAAACGAAGAATCAGCAGAGCAGGAAAGGAGAAGAGCCAGCACAGATTGCTCACCACACCACACAAGAGCAGAGCAGAGCAAGAAAGAATGGATCAGCAACAAGCAAGAATCAAGTCCTCCCTTCTCCCCTCGCCTCTTCTCGGCCGCTCGGGAGAGAGAAGAGAAGGAGAGGAGCAGGTGGATTGAGCAGCAGAAGCAGAGTGAGAGTAGGAAGCAGCAACAGCAGCAAAAGGGGAGCAGAGGAGGAGGAGAGGGAGGCGGGGTCAGGAGGCCATGGACCCAATCATGCCACGGTGTGCTCCACCACCCGGCCCGGGCGTGGGCGGTCGGGGGCGGCTGCTGCTCTACTACCCCTCTCTCACCTCACCCGTGCGCTCGCGCCGTCGCGCGCGCGCGCGCGTGATGCGGTGGCGGCGGCGACGGCGGCGAGGCCGACCGGGTCGGAGCAAAGGCGAAGCGGAGCAGAGGCGAGCCAAGCTAGGAGGAGGAGGAGCAGGGAGCGCTTTATAGTGGCAGTGCAAACTGTGCAGGGCAGTTGGCTGAAGGGGGAGCAGATGGTGATGCTGTCATAGTGCAGAATTTTCTCTTGTTTTGATCTGAAAATGGATTTGGTTTCTGCAAATTACACATGATTGTTACTTCTATAGGTTCCAAATACTTACATATTGAAACGATTGCTATTTTCCTTTTGTTCTTCTTCTTATCCTCTTGTTGTTCCTGAACAGTTTTGGCATCAGAAATTCAGAATACACGGGATTCTCTGTTCTGATATCAGAATAAGGTTATTCTCCGTAAATTAGGGTGTGTTTAGTTCACGACAAAATTAAAAATTTGATTGAAATTGGAACGATGTGACGGAAAAGTTAGAAGTTTATGTGTGTAGGAAAGTTTTGATGTGATAGAAAAGTTAGAAGTTTGAAGAAAAAGTTTGGAACTAAACTCAGCATTATACTACATGATTGCTAGGTTCCAAATACAACTCTGTTGAAATAATCGCTAAAAAAACTATTTTTCTCTCCTCTTGTTGTTCATGAACAAATTTGATGGGATCAAATTATTAGAGACTCTCCTTTGCACGAAGATTACTATTTACATTAATAATTTTCAGGCTGTATCATGGCTCTGTGCTTGCCCTGAAAAGGAGAGAGATAAAAGTGTACAATTCCAGAGCAGTCGTGAACCGTGATCTTGGCAGCGATGCGCTGCTGCTGCTGATGAAATGAATGAGCCAAAAACGACACAAGACTAAATTACTCCCCTCTTACTACTGCAGCTGCAGCTGCAGCTGCAGCTGCAACAGCCGGCCTCTGGCCCGTGGGTCCCACCGGTCAGCGGCCGTGGTCCAGTCCGTACTTGCTACTTCCCCCCTAGCTCCATGAAACGTGGGTCCCACTGGTCAGCGAGCCGCAGAGGCAGGCATGAAACGTGGTGTGCCTTTCAGCAGCGTCACCTCACTCACTCATCTCGTCAGCCTCAGCTCAGCTGCTGCAACGGCGCCAACCAACAGCATGGCCAATGGCCATGGCCATGGCCATGAGAGAGAGAGAGAAAGAGAGAATGTGACTGTGTTCTAGAGAGAGAAGGAGAGGAATCTTCTTGAGGTCTCGTCTTTGGATTCCAGCGGCATGAGCGTCCAAAAGCGCCGGCTTTGGCTCCCATCGGCCCAACGGTATCCTGTGTTCCTTCTGCTCTCTGTTCATCCTGTGAGTACACACTCACTTAATTACTGCTGCTTAATTACTTTGTCTGCTCAAGCTAATCCTATTCACTTAATTAATGCCAGTGTATATTGCCCACATTCTCTGTTGGTGATCAGTGTAGGTGTTTTGTTACTGTCAGACAAAAGCTTTTTTTCATTCACTGGGGTTAACAGGTAACAGCCAGCTGTTTTTAACTTGCAAAACTGTGGTTAGCTTTTCTATTGACAGGCTTCGTGCTATTTGGCAGCTCATGATAAATGTCAATCATTTGTGTCACTGTGTTAATTGCATGCATTGTCAGCATGCTGTACTGTTTGTTTTCCTGCACAGCTAATTCCTGATTGGCAATTGCCTGCCTGCCCTAGAGGGCATGGCGATGAACATTTTCAGAGTTTAATGTTGCTACTGTTTACTGAAACCCTTCTTGTACTACCTTGAGATCTTCTTCTCCTTTCATCCATGCATGCTTGCCAAGTGTCTATCTTATCTTGTTTGATCATCTCTAGAAATAAAAACAAAAGAGCAATATCAAATTACTACCTATCTCTCCAGGAAAGATGAGAGAACCCCAAAAAATGCAGGTGTCTTTTGTGTCTGCATGAATATACTAGCTAGCTGCTGATTGGAAGATGACAGATTCAGATTCCTCCAACGACCAGCATGCTCAACTTACATAGAAAGATGTAGTATCATCCTTAACAAGCCTACCAGTAGTAGCTATTTCATTTATGGGGCTCGCTGAACTTCTTGACATTTTCAGTACTGTCTGGCATCTATGTCGATCTCATACTAATGCTAATTTCCAAGTTGCTGTCAGGCTAAAAGCAGCTGATCATCTCGACCTTGTTGCCAAGTGTTTGGACATCAAAATTAAGGCACTGAAACTTTTGCAATTGGATGTAGCAACAGCAACAGCAGCAAACAGGAGCAGACATGCAGGGTCCCAAGCAGAAGGCACGCGAGCCTGCATGACAAACAAGGACAGGTAAGTCGAACCAGCCTTGCCGGCCAATTTAGAGTAATTAAATCATGCACATATACGGGTATGCATGTTAATTAACTACAGTACTAATTAATCAACCGACCGATTACCTTTCTTTCTGTGTAATCAATTAGCTGTGGCAAGCATGCAACAAAAGATGGAAGAGTTTGCTATGGCTCAAGTGTAATTGAATCAAGCTAGTAGGTTGCTTGATAGCTAGATAGGTCCCAACGCAGCAAAGTGACATCTCATTCTTATTACCTTTGGACACATGCCTAATGATCGACCAACAGTTCTTGGGGAGATCGATCCATGCATGAATCGATCTGGTGATCCATGTGTACTTGTATATATTTTGATCGGCCGGTCTAATTAACTAGCTACCAAAAGAATTATTAGTGTGTTGTGTGTGTGAGCCCCTACTCATTTACTGCCTCGCGAAACAACACCGAAACAGACAAGAGGTAGGCTACAATGCATGCATCTAGAACAATAGCTGAATCCAAACAAGAGAAGCTGCATGTCTGCATGCACTAGTTTTCTAGAGATCAAAAGAAAGGGTAATGATTGAAGGAAAGCAAATGGCTCTTGGATGCAATCGGCCATGTAGCATGGAGTATCAGAGGAAGGGCAATGGCACATGAATTCATCACTTTGGAATTAGAATTAAGTGCTAAAATCTATGTGTTTTTGAAAAATCATCTCAGCTGATCTATTATAAGAGAGACTTGGGGGTTTGTCCCAACAGCAGAGACCGAAGATGTAAACCACTTTTATTATCTAAAAGTTTCACTTTAGAATTTAGATGATCATAAATTCGTAACTATCAGATAGATGAAGCTTGGGGGTAATTTTGGAACTTGACGTGCACAACTGCATAGACATGCATGAATTTTCTTCAGGGAGCTTAGCTAGCCATACTAATCAAAATACAGATACTGAAAACTGATCACTGAAAATTTGGTGTTGTGTGCTGGATTTCAGGCCGGCAAGGCATGAACAGTTGAGCAACCTGGCATCCAGAAACTGAAAGAATCCTATGCTGCCATTGCAAGAAGTAATGGAGGAGGCTCATGGCTTGATGGCTACTCATTTTTCTTTCTTGGTCTTCTCTTTTTTTCCATGACTAGCAGCTAAGCTGTTAACATCTTTTGGCCTTATGGATAAAGTAGTAGTAACAGATGAGTATATATCTCTCATATATAGCTTAGCACCATGCAGGTCAGGTACCTCCTCTCCTACATTTAATCTTTTGATTTCCTCCCCAATGGCAGACACTATTGATGGATGATCCAAGAGTGTGCAGTTGCATGCCCATTATGGCACTGCAGCAGTGTAGTGCTGCAGCTGCAGTAATTAACCTGCATATGGCCACCAATAATTCTCACTTTAGACAAGCCTCTGCTACAAATGCAGGATTAGCTAACCAGCTAACCGTAGCCAGTGTCACCTGCATGCATCTATCGGTATGAGACATGAATGGAGACATAATCTAGCTGTTCTTCAGCCATGAAAATTACGTCTTAACTGAAGAATCTGATCTTAATTTACATTATATAGAAAAGTCTTCTTATTGCTCAAGTGGATGTACCCTCGTTTCATACACAGCACTCAAAAAGTCATCAAATATCTTGAAACCATTTGATGAGATAGATAAATATATGATATATCACTCTACAAGCATACAAATTTAAATTCGTTTTACACAAGTTGAAACAAAAATAACAAAAGTGGCTACCAAAAGTGCGTAACTTTCATAGTTGACATTTGTTGTTTTTGTTTCGAATTGTATTATTTGAATTTGAAACTGACATATTTGTGGAGCGATATCTCATATTTTTATCTATATCTTATTAGAATTTTTTAAAAGTTTTTCATGATATTTTAGATGATATGTACGATGAGTGTACCAATCCAACTGTCCAATGATAAAAAAAACCATTTCCCTGTATATGCTTGACTTTTTAGTCAGGAAACAACATGTGTTCACAGTATCTGCTTTAATTCAGTCAAAAAAAAATACAGGTAGATAGGTAGAGATATACTATATTCAGTGTGAGTAGTGAAGGCTGAAGGATTAATTTGGGTGCACATGGAGGAACATGGAGAGGTCACGGGGAGGGAGGAGGAAGAAGAAGAAGATTGAATGCAGTGGATGTAATGCACTGAAGAAAGTACGTGGAGAAAAATGGCAGCATATGTACTTGGTTCTGCACATCACCGAAATTGTTGTGCTTGCCGTGGATGATCTCTCAGCTGCTCCGGCGCCGTACCTACTCTCTGATGCCCTATCTCTCTCTGTATCTTGGCACATCAGCTTCTCTCACATGGCTGGCTAGTAAACAATAGAGATGTTGAGTTGTGATCCAAATTCATTTGCACTTAATAAAAGCCAGCTTTTGCCGTAGCGGAGCGAAGGCTGAAGCTGGCCCATTGGGCTGTGCGCATGGGGATGCCCGGGGGTGCGGGGGCGGAGCTCCCGCGGTATGGATCATCATCCATTTTAGGGTTCCACTATATATATAGCTCTTGTAAGCCGCTGTGCGGCGATGTAACCTTACCTCAGATATAGTGAAGATATTTTACTGGCTGGCGCCCGTGGTTTTTTCTTTCCTGTTTTAGGAGGGTTTTCCACGTTAAATCTTGTGTTTTTTATGATTGATCTGTTTTTTTTATCGTTTGTTCGTCTATCGTTTCCTAACAAGAGAGCATATGAACTGAACTGATTCCGTATCGATCTCTGCCTTTCTCTGTCTCTGCACTGAATTGGAGCCTGACCTGAGTCACGTTGGATCCTGAACCTGAACATGGAGCTTTTTGGATGACAGAAGGTTTATTGCACTCATCCAAATATCCAATTTCATCGAGCCGATAGAATTATCCCAAAACACTTTCGATTTCTGCATAACTAAGATACACACAACCACCTGAATCTGAACCTAAACAACATGCATGATCTCCAAGAAACGATTTGCATGTCATACAGATACATCACATTTCTTTCTTCAAAACACACACACACACACAAATTTTGCACTTCCTTTCTTTTATTAACATAATTTTATACTACTACATTTTATTTTTATTGAGAAAGACTACATTTTAATTTTTAATCCCCTTTTAGTTTTAGATTACTTTTCAAGTCTTCATGGTGATTGATCACTCTCGGACACTGATTTTCCACTAGACGAAGTTGACGGCCATTCCTTTTCTGCATTTGGGCCTAATCCTCCTGTATATAGGAGTAGTAGGCCATTCATGGGCCGTTTGCGTGAGGCCCACGAACGTGAGGTGTGGGCCCACAGCCCAGCGAGACCCCGCGAAGAAGAGCTCAAGGGTTTAGTAGCCGCCTCGGCGGCGGCGCGCGCGGGGAAGAAAGCCCAGAACCCTAGCCCCTCCCGCCGCCGACGAGCAGCGGCGCGCGAGAAGAACGGCCGGCGAGATGGGGCGGGACAAAGCGCGGAGGCTCTCCGGCAGCCGCCACTTCCGGCAGAGGGTGGTGCTGGCGACGCTGACGTCGACCGCCATCACCATCGACGACATCCGCTCCGGCGGCGCCGCGCCGGGCCTCCGCCCCCACGAGGTCTCCCTCCTCCACCTCCTCCACAAGATCTCCGACCACCACTCCCTCGACCTCAACGAGACAGGCAAGGACGCGCGCTTCCTCCCGCGGGCTTATCTCTGTCTGGTGTGGCTCGCCTAGGTTTTCATCGGTGGCTGGCTGATTCCTTTGTGCGTGTGTGCGTGCGGTCGCAGGGACGAAGCTGAGGTACAAGCCGGGGGTGATCGTCGGCGGGAGGGACCTCGAGCACGACTGCGGGGTGCACCGGGGGATCGGCTACTTCCTTGAGCCGCTTATACTGCTTGGGCTCTTCGCCAGGGCGCCCATCTCCATTCGGCTCAAAGGTGAGCTTTCCTTGTTCTTGTTCAGGTAACACTTGGGCAATAGTGGTGCAGAATTAGCAAAATTTAGGGGACCTCTGCTGTATTAGGTTGACACCATGGTCGTGGCTCAGGGGGAAGTTATGGTTCTGTCTAGTGTTTAGTCAGATAGATTGTTCGAAATTTGCAGTGGAATTTTGTTCCTGGACCATATTCTTCAAGGGCCTTGTTGGATTCGATAGAGATTGTCTGATTGGGATTTCACTAATTTGAACTTACTCGTCATTCTTGTATTATTATTCGTTAGAAATTGGAGATGGAATTACTTATCTATCCGTTTAGAAGTAGCGGAAGGTCCATCCCATTACTTATCTATCCGTTTAGAAATTGGTGATCAATAATGTTTGTACATGCTTATCTATTGAAACCATATTACTGACATGTTGAAATTGGCACTTATAGTTACCCTCTACCTTCTGCACAAAATTGATGGCCATAATTGGTGATCATGCAGACTTTTTTTTCCCTAAGCAGCTTTACTATGAGACCTAAATTTGTCACCCTGCTTTTAGGAATTACTAATGATACAAAGGACCCTTCTGTGGATACTTTCCGAATGGTTACCTTGCATATGCTCAAACAATTCGGTGTTCCTCTGGAGGGATTGGAGTTAAAGATTGAAAGCCGGGGAGCTCCTCCTCTTGGTGGTGGTGAAGTGTTTCTTCGAGTTCCCAACATAAAGAGCACATTAAAGGTGTGTGTTGTTTGCTGCCCCTCTAATGTTATGCCATGTCTGTTGGCATTTCCATCTGATGCTAAATGCCTTTCCAGGCAGCTAACTGGGCTGATGAAGGTATGGTCAAGAGGATAAGAGGTGTATCATTTTCAACTAGAGTATCTCCACAAATTGAAAACCGCATCATTTATGCTGCACGTGGGATCTTCAATCGCTTTATTCCGGATGTTCATATATTCACTGATCATAGATCTGGTTCTGCTGGTGGCAGGTATTTTTTTTTCACTGTCAAATAGTTCTATTGAATATTTATAATGGTGCTATACTCTGATGTCTTGCAACTCAATAATTGTGATTAGTCCTTTTTTAACCATCTTCATCTATTTGGCAGGTCAGCAGGCTATGGCGTATCTGTAGTTGCTGAGACTACCACAGGCTGCCTGCTCTCTGCAGATGCTACTGTAAGTTATCCTAATGTTGATGAAATGAATGAGGAATCTGAGAATTTGGAGCTAACATCTCCAGAGGATCTTGGTGTTCAAGTTGCATCGATGTTGCTAGAAGAAGTTGCTCAAGGGGGAGTTGTTGACTCAGCACATCAGGTGTGGTCTTTGAAACAAACATTTTCTTTGTTGTTTGAACCATTGACAATCATTATCTTTTGTGGTATTCTCTATATGCTACTATAATACAGCCCTGCAACACCAGTTTGGTAATTGTTCCTTTGGCTGTCATATGGTGTAGGAAAATATTTTTTCTGTTAAAGTGTTTACATAGTACAGATAGATTTAGTCTATTAGAAAGTTTGCCAAGAAACCTATTCTTTTTCATATAAATTGATGCCTGAACTTGTGTTTTTCCCTCTTAAAAACGGATGGTTGTTTAAATTATTTTACCTTTTGACATTGTGTTCCTCTTCTAAATACTTTTCAGGGCCTTCTGTTTATTCTATGTGCTCTAAGCCCACCTGATGTGTCAAAGGTTCGTGTTGGTCAGTTGACACCATACGCTATCGAAACACTTCGCAACATACGGGATTTCCTTGATGTCAAGTTCATTATCAAGCCTGATCCAAATTCAAATACTGTTACATTGAAATGTGTTGGTGCTGGAGTGAAGAATCTTGCTCGGAAGACTTCGTGAACAACAGGATGATGAATCCCATCAAAGGATGGATGAGTGCAGCAAGAACACTGGGTCTCCTGTAAGCTCTGTTTGTAACTGCAAAGCAACAAGTTGAGAGGTTTCATTTGCTGCCTGGGCTAAAATTTTGTCGAAGTGCGTGGTATATGTCATAGGTAGATTTGACCCAAGCATTTTATACCTGCTGGGATTTGTCTGATCATACCATCATGTCTTGTCACACTTTTGTATCTCCTTTATCTAATACGGCGATGCCATTGAGATTGGGCTTTAAGTTAATTGAAATACTAGTATAATGGAGAAATATTGCTGTTTAGGCACATCGAAAATGTGTTGTTAGTATGCACATTGGATGTGCTTATGCTGCAACATATATAAACCGTTTATATTGAAATGATAACTTGGGAACAAAAATTGCTGGACCCTGTCGTGTCACGCCCCCAGGGTACTCACCCAAGGAAATCATATGCACATTTTTGGGGAACAATTTGTCAAAGTCAGGACAACTTTTTCAGGTCTTGCTAGCAATTACCGACACTGATTTACTCCTACATGTCACTCACCTTGCACCATGAAACCCAAATGTGAGGTAGTGTCATCATGGAAGAGATGCAAAGATAAAGCTGCCCAAGAACAAGAATAGTATCAACTGATATCATATCAAGCACTACAACAAGAAGCATGTCTCCATAGAGAAGGATCTCTATGCTCACCTACAACATATATGATGGCTAAGATGCCTAAGCATCATTCTGCCTACCCAGCTCATAAACAGTCATATACAGATTACAGACAGACTCACAAAACATCTATCCTTCTTCTCCCCTATGAAAATTCACTCAAATCATCTAGTATGCATCTGTACACAGCTGAATCAAGTAGAACAAGTTGTTCATCATCAGTAGCAGCAGCAGCAGCAAGAAGAAGGCCTACACTTTCTCCTTGACATATGCAAAGGTGAATATCCAGACAAGGCACAGGACCCAGCCGGATGACAGCGCGGCGGCGGCGGCGCCGGTGAGGCTCGTCGGGTTACTGTCGGAGCCGTACATCGAGTTCCCGCCGGGGCTGTTGGCGTTGAGCACCGTCGACCCCGATCCGCCGCCCACCGCCGGTCCCATCGGCGTCACTCCGGCGCCTCCGGTGCCGCCCACCGCCGGTCCCATCGGCGTCACGCCGACGCCGACCCCGGCGCCGGCGCCCGCGCCGCCGCCCACCGGCACTGTCCCCGTCACCCCCGGGCTGTATCCCGCGCCGTAGCTGCAAACGTTTAAATCCTGATCAGGATCAATGCATCGCAGTAACTAGCACGATATTATCGGCCTCATCGTTTGGCTTATTCAACGGCATATTTACAAACGAAAAATATTTTATAAATAAAATTGTTATATACATGTTCTTAGCGATATAAAAACAAATGTAGAAAAATAAACTTCCATGAAAAACCTTAAATCAGTTTTAAATTTAATGTTAAAATTTAAATTTTTGCTCATAAGCATAAGCATAAGTGAGGGATCAAAGCTTACCCTGCTGATGATGCCTGAAACAAGCAAGTTCCTGAACCTGCAAGAATCATTCAGTGTGATTCTGTCAGTGATGCACGCTAACGCGAGTAATTATACGAGGTTTAGTGGGGTTAATTAATACTCCCTTCGTTTGTTTCATATTATAAGACGTTCCATTACTCATATTCATATAAATATTAATGAATACATATATATGTCTAAATTCATTAACATATAAATGAATGTGGACAATGCTATAAAGTCTTATAATATAAAACAGACGAAGTAAAATGAATAATTACTTGGGTTGATGTTGACGAGCATGCCGGCGCCGCCGAAGTCGCAGCTCGCCGGCGAGGGGTTCCTCTGGAAGTAGGAGTTGAAGGCGTAGGAGGCGTGGGCCTGCAGGGTGTTTGGGTTGTAGCAGGCCCCCATGGGCTGGATCGCCGTGCAGTCGGCCCCGCCCATGCCGCACGCGTAGTCCAGCCCGCTCTGCAGCGCCGCGTCCATCAGCCCCGCCTTCGCCACGCACCACGTCTGCCCGCCCGCCGCCGGCATCGTCGCCGGCGGCTGGTAAGTCGGAGTCGTCGGCATGACGCCGCCTTGCTGCGGCGGGTACGGGTAAGGCATCGTCGTTGGGTTTGTGACGGCCGGCGTCGTGGCGGGGTTGGTCACCGGGGATGGCATGGTCGGCGCGGTGACCGGGTTCATGAATGGCGTCGGCGTCGTCGTCGTCGTCGGGTCGGGCATCGTCACCGGCGTCGGCTCCGGGTACAGCGGCGGGAGGTTGGGGTTGTTGGAGTATCCCGTGGCCGGGTTGGTCGACGGCACGGTGACGATGCCCGGCGTCACCGGGTTCATCGCCGGGTTCGTCGCGGGCACCGTCACCGGGTTCGTCGCCGGCGTCGTCGTCGGGTTAGTCACCGGCGCGAACACGTCGCGCGCCGTCGTCCTTGCCGCCGCGGCGAGCTCCCGCCGGGGAGAGGGAGACGCAACCTCCGCAAGAACACCCGTCCACCTCCTCCCCTTATCCGCATCGCCGATCAGCCTCGCCATTTCCGCCGCGCTCCGAGCCGCGCGGCCGCTGATACGGAACGCCACGCCGACGCCCTCCTCGAACGCGGCGGCGACATCGGCGACGGCGAGGTCTGCCTTCTCTTCTGCACCCATCTCCACCACGACAAACGAGCCTGACCTCCTCACGAACTCCATGACTCTGCGCCAATGCTTCTCGCCGCGGCGGCGGCACTTCGCCATGGCTCGCAGAGAAGGCAGCGAGAGCTCCGGCGAGACCTTGACGCTCCGACCCAATCCGGCGACGGCGAGCTCCGCCTGAACCGACTCCAGCGTGCAGCGCAGCGCGCCGAGCTGCCGCTCGTTGGCCGTGACCACGACGCCGGTGACGTTGAGCCGCAGGTTGGGCACGACGACGCCATTGACGAATTCGCCGGCGAGCCGCCTCGCGCTGCATGATCTCGTGCTCTGAAACGGCTTCAAGAAGAGGTACACATTTTGCTGCTCACTGACCACCGAGCTGGACAGTATCTTCACTTGAGCTGAACCATATGAGCAATCAAGAGATGCTACTGAAACGAAATATCACCAACAACAAAAAAATTGTCATCAGATTCAGAGGTATAAATACTTCGATAGAGATTCATATCGATTCTTGTTCTACTGTGACAATCTGACACATGCTCTTGACACTTAGGTGCATGCTAATTGCATCAATAGATGGAGATTATGCTGATCATGATCTATGATTTCAGAAAACAAAATATGGGATACTGACCTGAAGAAGAGATGGTTTCAAGCAGGAGAATACAGGAGAAGAAGATAGTGAAAGCAACAGACCAAGAAGTTGCCATTGAAGCAGATAAATGTTTTTGGCAAAGGATGCCTCTGACTGAGCAGAACAACCTCTGATGAAGGAAATGGAGATGGAAATTGGGCAGTGTGGAAGGAAGAGTAGGAGAAAGGAGGGCAATGGAACTTAAGGAGGAGGGAAACAAAGGTTGTCTGCTGCAAAGTGGAAAAAGCATATGCAATAGGGGAAAAGTGGCAAAGTGGATAATAATTGTTTTAAATACAATGCATGCTCTTTTTTACTTTGAATACAGAATTGAAGTGCATATATCCTTTTTTCCTGTGGAGAAAATATGTCTGGGATTTGAGCAGATGAAGTTAAATGCATTCTCTATCCTTGCATTCAAGAGAAAAAAATTTCACTGGGATCATTTTTAACCCTGAACAGCTGAACAGCAGCAGCTCTGAAGGAGAAAACATTTTCAGGAGAAAATGGTGTCAAATTTTTTGTTTGCTAACCCATTCGCCATGCTTCTGAAATCTGAAGTCTGAGATGTCATTTTGCATTCAGGAAAAAAAGTGTGCAAACAGAAGGCAATGCGTGTGACGTGGCTGAACACTAGTAACCAATAGCATTGCTTCTTGCCAACACAAAAAAATGCTTTGACAAAAGTTTTAGGTTCAGAGATAAAGGTGCTTTCTTCTCCGATGACTATCGCACATGATCCTGATCTAGTTCTTGCACTGATCTATGCATGGCCATAATCTGCAATACAAACTCTCAAACATTCTGAAGGAGAGCCACCTTTAATTCAACAAGAAGGAAGAAGAAAAAAAAATGTAGTACTATGACAAGTTGAGAACAATAGCAACATTGAGCTTTTGGACCAGCTGTTGCAGAAGGACAGTAAGCATGACCATGCCAAAAGGCTGGCCTTGGTCACTCACTCATGCCATGTGCACTTGAAAGATCCTCATCTCATCTCTGGAAATCATATGGGCAAAAGGTGCAAGTATGTTTGCACATCTCTCTTCAGAAATCTGTTTCTGTATCCTTCTTCAGACAAAGTTTTTTCATTGGACCAGATGAGAACAGCTGCTGATATGGCTTAACCTTGAAGAGTTTAAGGCAAATGGGAATCAGCACATGTCAGCAGAATATATTCTGTTACATCTATCTTGCTACTAGAATCAGGAGGTAGCTAGCTAGCAGTTAACTGGTTCCATCAGTTGCCGGTTTATTCCTTTGAATAATAAGTTCGCTGAATATTTCTGAATAATAAGTTCACTGAATATTTCTGAATAAGTTAACTGTGGTCATGTTGTTTCTGAAATTTGGATGAGGAAGTTTTTATTGGTTTTCACTTTTTTGAGAGGCATCAAGTTGAAAGGAAAAGGGGGAGCAGATTGCAGAGCTCTTGGGCAACTTTTCCTGAATCATCATGAGCCATTAGGAGATAAGGAGAGGCAGACAGGAAAAGAGAGAGATGTGCCATTGTTCATGCAGAGATCAACGATGTCGATTTCAGGCTTGATAACATCGTAGTATCTTTTTTCCTAGATTTCTCTGTGTCACTGCCTCGATCTTGGGCCAGCCAGCTACTCCTCTTCTTTCTCCAAAGCTATGATAAGATCACATCCAAGTCCGAATGGCCACACCACAAGAAAGCACTTCCATGAACTAACATTTTATCTATGACTGCATGAATGCTTTTCTATTGGCGTAGAAAAACGTCAGATTTGTCGGATTTCTCATGCGTCAATGCTAATCTATGATTATATTGGTTGCAAGTGCGTTAATCTTTTGGATGCTATATGATCATATAGGATTGCAATGTCAAGACTTTAACAATAGCATCCATATGTATCTTTGTTGATAAAGACGACGAAGCTGTCGACTGGAGCTCAGTTTGCCGCTGAATAAACAGAAAGCTGTTTCGTTTTTTTTTTTTGGTTAAGGGCAATAATGCAATTTGTAAAAAACTTATTAGTGAAGCTTTAAGCGACTTTCGCCGAGCATTAGCTATATAGTATAATAGTGTAGATAAACGAGCCGCTAGCTTGATCGGTGTGTGGTGCAAAGCTTGTGCTGAATTAACTAATTGATGGTGGGCATCTGCTTTTTATGTATCTTGTCGCCCTACTAAACTATTATTCATGCATGCACAATTAAACTTTTTCTTCTTATAAACGCATTACAAATGTAGGCGCTCACAACACACGTGCACTCACCTCTATGAACATATACGTACACCCTATCTCTATAAGCATTTCTTGAAGACTGGACCGGTAAATCTTGAGATTAACGAAGTCACCACGACCGTCTCGCTGTCGACGGATACGTCACCTACCATTAAAATAATAATTAGTTCTAAATATGAACAATTAAGCTAAACAGGCACGTGGTGAACAAATTGATCGACCAGTGTATAATAAAAGGTTACAACACATAAGATGCCGAAAAATGGACGAACTAATAAAAAATAATTTATAAGTTTTTGTATTTGTGTTATTAGTATTTTAAAAGTAAATGCTAGAAAATAGCTAGAATACAGCGAAAAGACTCTAAAATTAAATTAAGTTTTAAAATTTAAATTTGTGTCTGATATGCTAATAAGTACAGTAAGGGACTTAATTTGTATATTCAAAATGCAGTCTCATTTTCTTTTTCTTGTTCCTTCTTCGAAATTTCAGCAATTTTCTCGTATCAAGAAAGGAAAATTTCAGCGTGTTTCTGCTGATGAAGCGTTGCATGTGACTAAGCAAATTAAAGCATCTGTAGTTTCTGAAGCCGGAACCTCAGAGCGGGTGGATCGGCGATCCAAATGGGGTCCGAACCCCATTTGACCTCTATATTTTCTCACACACGCTCTGCATATGTGGCTATATATTTTCTTCTTCTCCTGGTTCAGTGGTTGAGTACGTACTTTAAGGGATTGATTTTTCTTAACCCTATTTGATTAATTCCTTGTGATCAGGCACAGAGACTAATTAATTAAGTAATTAAAGCCTTTAAAGGAACGAGAAAGTAAGAAACGTCCTAATGGCAGATTCAGTTCATATTATATTAGCAAAAGAAAAGCAGCAGTATCTGGGTGGGTTAGTGGGGATTATTATCGCCGCCAATTAAAAGAAGAGCTAGCTAGCGAGCTAAGCTAATCGTAGGAGCACCCAATGGGCAATGCAGCAAGTGATCGAATGGGTAATTAATTGACTAATTAAGCAAGCTTTGCGATTGACTTGTGGTGTGCAGAGCAGATGACACACACTTTAATTTGGCTTGCTTAATGGCTAAGGCCAAGCCATGCATGCAAATGCATGTATCTCAAGGGGTAAAAAAAAGGTGGCATTTGCATACGCACTTACACGTAGGATTGAAACATGCACGAGAGCAACCCAATGTCATATATGGCTATATACTCAGGCATGTGCTTATGTGCATTGGTTGCATGGGGCCATATATCCATGCATCAAATCCGAAGGTGAATTAAGCAGCCAAGAGGCATATTGGTTGGTTGCATGGAGCATTCGGATACATGGCATGTTCACTTTATTATCATTTTTAACTCTATTAAATTGGACACTATCACAATTCCTAGTAAGTCTGTAGGCTGTTATTTTTTTTCCCGTAAATGATCTAAAAAAATTTCGTCGGTAATTTTTATCGGTTCACCCATGGTAAAATAATTTTCGACAGTACAATGTGTTATAATGTATTTTTTTTCGACAGTTTTGGGCTTATAGGATAGTTCTGGTAACTAATAAACTAAAGATAACCTTAACATTATTATCCTATTAAATTTGGTATTTTCGAAAGTATCTTATCAAGAAACACTATACTTAGTCTATAAACGAAAACACATAACACTGCCAAAAATATGCTAAAGCTAAAATGTGTCAAAAATTTAACATTATCAAATTTTAGTAAGTTGACTTTTTAGGACAAAGTGAACGTGCCAATATATCCATTTGACCACCCTCATCATCCATCTATTCATTCGAGATCGATCGATTCGTTTATTTCGATTCATCAAGAGCATCTGCAAGAGACACATATCGCAGCGAGGAAATGACAAGGAAAATTAATTATGGAGAGATTAACTCGATATATCCATTCCCTGCAGGATGCAGCTAACAGTACACTGAATATATAAAACCTTCGTCAGAACCAGCTGGTAAAACGCCACCATAGCGGCATGCTTATGAGCTGCTTTAGCTGACATCAACTCTTAATTAGGATGATTAACAAAACAGTAAATCGTTTTGGAGGTTAAATATATGCTTAGTTTGATCATAATGTGTTATTTTTTTGAACCAGAGGGGTTCGGTGAGTAAAATTCCGAACCCCTGGACCTCCTTTTTCCCTTCTCTCTCTGTCTTTTCTTTGTTCGAGATGCCTCGTTTTTTTTTCCTTAGGAAAACAAACTGAACAAAGCAAGCCATGGGCCCATATGGCCCAATAAAAAAGTGTTTTCCCCTTAAAGAAAGGACCCAAGAAAAATGCTGGGCCGTACGAAATAATATCTGGCCCATCGTTGGGCCTACAGATGGTCACGGGGCCAGAGTAATTAAATGGGCCCTTGAGTATATAGGAAACTTATCTGCTGGTCTCGTACAAGCAGACAGGGGCAACCAATTTAATTACACTATCTGATTGTTACATCTGTTCTTTTTTTTTTAAAAAAAAAGTCTTGCTACTATCATGTAATAAGAACAATAATAGTCTATCTAGGTACTGGAAATAAAAGTAATTATTGATTTATTGGAACACATAAAGAAATGAATGCAAAATAATTAGTACTATAGTAATATCGAGTAGCAAATAAACAGACGATGCCCCGCAAAAATGAAATAAAATAAACAGACGATGAGTTGTGCTACGTAGCTAGCAGATCAATCCCCTTTGCCACTCACATTGTTGGCGATAGCATCATAATTAAGCATATATGCATCCACGAGTTTGAGGAATAATCGAATTAACAGTGGCGTGGTTATCGACTTATCGTCCTTTGGTGTCTGCGTCGACGTTGACTTCATCGCTGTGTACGTATACGAATGCGCGTAATTGTGCATATTGCTGTTTACGTTGAATTTAAATATAAAACTATCAAAATTTTAGCCGAATTTGATTCTAAATATTAAATATTTATGACCCAAGGAGATACTAGGTTGCTGGGCAATCACAATACACACACACACACACACACACACACACACACACACACACACACACACACACACACACA